CACACACACACACATCTACACACACAAACACACACACACACACACAAAAACACACACAACAACAACTTAGGCCTACTGTGAGTCTCGTAGGGGAAATGCACTATCATTGTTAGTTATTTTTTGCTTCATTTGCTCTTTTCCGATTTCTTGTCCACTTGTTTGAGGATTATGTCAATGGTTGGAACATTGTTATTGTGGAGCATACCTGTCCGAAATCCTAAATGTTATAAAAAATAACTTTTTTATGGACTCAGAAATTTACCATAAAATCTGAAATCCTGATATAGCTGAGACTGTTATAATCAGGGCCCTGTGTATTACAACTGAAGATTTTCTCTTTCTCTAACATGGCATTTGGGCTAACGAGCACATTCTTAAGGACTCTTGGATTTACCACACACAAACTAAGCAAAAGTGATGGTTTTTGTTTCCTTATTTTCTTATAAAGGAATGATGTTTTTTCTGTTCTTGGAGGGTTTTGTTCATAGTGTCTATTTGTCTTTCGTCATGTTTTTTCTTATTGTGTTTATATCCTTCTCTTCCACACAGACAGGTCCAACAGTTTTTATTCTTTAGTATAAGTGGGTGCTTGGAGGGTGGCACAAGTACGTAAAACTTCTCTGTGTCTTACTTTTCTCCTATGCCAGGACTGCCCACCATTATGAAATTGTCTGAATTGTTACAAATATTTATTCAGTTTTTACGAAAATACGGTCCTGATTCCAATTTGTTAACAAAATTTTGACTACCGTAACCGACTGCCAACCTTTCTAGTGTTTAGGAGAAAAGCAGAAAAACTACGAGGCCCGGACAGTAGACATCACGTGCAGTTGTCTAACTTTAACAGTATTAACATTCTCTTTGCACCGAGCCCTTGTCGTCGCTTATTGCCGCTTTGCTCTTAGAAAAACATTAGACTTTAGAAGTGCTAAAGCCAGGAGTAAGGCAAGCATTAGATTGACAAGGTGTTAAAGATGTTGGAAAATTCCTGCCCTTTTGTATCATCACGCCTTTGTGTTCATTACATTTATACTATTCTGGACTACAACCCCTGTCCTTGTCACCCCATCGAAGATTTTCCATGACCACATGTATTATGAATTTTTAAGCCAGTTTACTAATTTTTCTATTTGCTGATTACTAAAACATATGCTGGTGGGTGGGGAGCCCTGCAGTGCTGTTTAAAATTAAATTAGGTGTTTTACGTATCTATAGACACAATTTAGATCATCAAGGAAGTGGTCTCTAGGGCGGCCTGCTAGGGGTAACCAGACAGAGAGATACAACGGCCTAGCAGAAAGAGGGAGATACTCAAACAATATTCTCCCGACGTGGGAATTGGACTCAGGTCTTCTTCATGCGACCGTGAGGTGCCCAAGGGCTTCACCACAGACAGGTCCTTGGGCTTCTTTTTGTTTAAGTTAAAGAATAAAGTGTAATACATGTGCCTTTTTTGTGATAATCAGGTGAAGCTGGCTCATCAGGAAACAGAACTTCTTCAGCTTCTAAAGAAGATCCCGCTTGGTGTGAAAGAGATGAAGGAAATTCGGTTCCGGGCTGAACGGCTGCGTGATGGCGCCCTGAAGTCGCGAGGAGAAGCTCTGCTGCCTCTCAGTTTGGCTACCTTCATCTTTGAGACGCTTTGCGTGCCAGGTCAGCTCACTGTTCACTAATACTGTCAAACCCGCTCTAGCGACCACGTGTTCAAGACAGCCACCTGTGCAAACAACCACTTCCCACTTAATTTTTTCAGTATATTGACACTGTCTAAGGTGACCACAACACTTATCCAATATGACTGACCACTTTATTTTGTTAGCCAACAGGACCTAAAAACGAAAATTAGCAAGAGCAAGCCAGACAATCAAAGGGTTGCCCATTATTACAAAGTTGGCATAAGTGTTACATTTTTTTTTTCAATTTTACGAAAACACGACTAGAGCCCTGATTCCAATTGTAAAAAATTCATTTCCTGTTTGGCTACCTGAACCATTCCCCAGCTTCCTGCTGTTTATATGTAAGAAAAGCAATCCAATCAGACCGTGACAGTCTATGTCACTATGTCATGTGCAGCTAACTGGAACACTCTCTGTGCACAGAGACCTTGAAGTCGCTCAGTTTGTTTTAATAGAGGTTTTATGGCGCTCGCAACTGCATAAGGTCATATGAGCGCAGAGGGGTGGATGTCGACAGAGAAGTCCTTTCAGGGAATCAGACGTACTCTGCTCACCTCTCTAGCTTCAACAGCACAAAGTGTGCTTCGACTATCAAGGCACCCCGGAAATAGCGGGTCGCAAGAGTGTGACAAACGTACAAAAGAAGTAGGGGAGAAATGACGATAGTATGGATTAGGAAAGAAAAAGCAGCATTTCCCTGTTACAGTTCAGGCACAGTTCTAAGCATGACATTGATGAATCAGCCCATTTACAATTACAATTCTACTGTACATAAGAACTCAAGATGCTAATGTGTGTGTGTCTCCCCCCCCCCCCTTCTCTTGTAAATGGCCTAAAGACACTTAAGTCAGTAGCACCGCCTGGGGGGTAGTTCTTTTCTTTACAAAGCATTAGCCTCAGCGACAAACTGTTCTTTACTTTACAATACATTACCCTCATTGACTTCTATGTAGATGAACCACTGCATATGTCTGATGACCTCTTTCTCTTTGACAACGGATGGTTGTCTTAAACTGTAATTGTGTGAACCAGAGAGTGTGTTACCTTTACCCTTTCTCAAGCAAATCGCATGCTTGAGTGTAATGTGATGTGAATCTAACAGTTGATTCAATGGATCTCAGGTGTTGAAGTGTGAAGTCATTTATATCAATATATGTTAGAAATCTCAGGATTAATTCTTATCAGGATTTTCCTGAATAGCCAGAATTACACCTGTGCTGTCATAAAGATATCTCGTACGTTTTTGTATCTCCCACAGTTTGAAGTCTAAATCTGTCTCATTTGCCATGCCAAAATATCAACCATCAGCAACATAGGGGAAGCAGACTGTAAGATTGAATGCAGAAAAGCCAGGTGTATTGTAGAGGGATTTGATTAATAATCTTGGTTTGGAAAATAACTCAGATTCTACATCCAAAATTGTTGGGGATGCAATGCCCTGCCACTCGAAATTGGTTACAATGCAAGGCTACTGATCATCTCGGGCGGTGTGTCGATCTAGTGTTACTATAATTAATTTATTTTAGCATAGAGAGAGAGAGAGAATTTAATGAATGACGTATCTAGATCTAGATCTAGATTTTGTTGTGCACCAAGCCAAGAGTGTGCTGTTCGGAAAGTAGATGATCTAAATATAGTGGTGGCCTGGTGGGTGAATGACCGAAGAGCGACTCTGGACTACTCGCCTGTGAATTAGCGGAGACACACTAGGCCTATCTTGCAACTTGATTCACAGGTCTACTATCATAATTATCAACAGTAGGCCTACTTGCTTCTGTAGGCCTGGAGTCTACTAGTTTCAAATGGCATCTTTTTCGGTGCACGGTTTCGGCACTCCTGTACAATTGCAGTCCCGTTTGTTTACACGACGGCCATTGTGGGAGTGAATCTAGATTTCTAGATCTAGATCTAGATTTTAGGTCTAGATATAGATCTAGAATCTAGATCTATATCATCTAGATCTAGAGATCTCTAGATTTTAGATTCTAGATAGACAACATAATCTATCTCTAGATATAGATCAAGATCAAGATCAAGATCTAGATCTAGATCTAGATCTAGATCTAGATTAGATAAAATCTTAATTCAGTTTAGATCTAAATACGAAACACGTAAGAATTAATGTACTACAGGGGCACTTAGATCTAGGCCTAGATCTAGATTAGTGTGATTTAGTGCAAACGGGACCTCAATTGTAGGCCTACAGGAGTGCCACTGTTTCTTCACTTCAGTTCATGATGATGGATTCTGACATTGCTCGCTGTGTAGATAATCTAGATTCTAGTCAACAGTTAGGCTACCCGGTACTGGACTCTGGCAGTGGCAGTTTTAACTTTTCAAGCGCTGAATGCATGGGGTGGGTTGGGGGGGGGGGGGTCAGTAGTTTTGTTTTAAAATGTTGTTTGGTGTTTAGTATTCTTTAAACAAAAAAATGTGTTCTTAAGCCCCCATCGACACAATATTAACTGTGTTTTTTTTGCTCTATTAAAGAAGTTTGAATAGCTTCAAACAGTCCCACGGCTTCTGACCAGGCCTACAAGTAGCTGGAACTTGACTTTGCAAGACCTTCATTTTTGTGGGGCATGTAGATCTAGATCTAGGTCTTCCTTTTTTTCAGTCTTACACTTGTCACATATGACTGTAGACACTTTCCTAAGCAAGTACTCACTGATGTATGTGACAACATTTTCAAACTGCATCTGGTACTCTACTTTTAGTGACTTGATTAGGTTAGTCATTGGTGGCTGCTCCTCGTTTTGGACTTCATATTCTAAGAGCACATAGGTGGTGCAATGTTTGAGTATAGGCTACCACCGGGAAGCAAAACTGAAAGGAAGTGATCAATGTCATCTTGACAGTTCATACCAGGACTGATCAGAGGACTTTATTTTCCATTAGGGAGTGCTTATTTAGGCCACATATGGCCTAAATAAGGTAAGGGAGGGGGGTTTAGCTTATTTAGGCCACACATGCTCAAACTACCCTTTTCAGGCAACTGAGTTTGTTCCACTTTCATAATGGTGCACCTTTCTCATTTAGTACAGTTTTGTCTCAGTGTACAACTTTTAAATCATAATCATACATGTAATGAATATTGTGAGAACAAAGCACAATACGCAAAATTTTGCTCAATCCCAATGGTTTGAATGAGGGCCAGATTTTTCCTTCATGGAGGGGCAAAAGCTAGGCTACCATTTTGGCACACTTGGTCAAGTGAAAAGGTCAAATCCTCCGAATGGACTTCCGGGTCAAATTTGGGGTATAAAAAGTGTGTACACAACGTGGCTGAGTCAAAGTTACACTATCTTTGCCTGAGTGGCACTCTCTCGTACTGTCTCGTAGTAGTACATGTAGTAGTAGTAGTAGCAAAGATCGTGTAGAGAATCTTTGGTAGTAGGTTCTATCTAGATCTAGTAGGCAGTTTAGTTAACGTGCACGCGGCAGGGCGAATCGGCTTTGATAAGCCCCGTAGACTTTTGTGATCGGCCACGAAGCCTCGTGTTTTGATGGGTCTAAACAACTCAAGTGTTAATCGCACTGCCACATCCGACAGGCCTACATCTTTTTAAAAGGAAAAGAAAGATCATCAAAATGGTTGAATTCGCGTGAAAATCGATTCGGTAGAACTGGAACTATTAAAATTTGCTTCTGAAAACAAGGCAATTTTTACAACTCGATGAAATAAAAACTAATGGCTGTGTTATTCTGTATAAATTGTGAAACTTCAGGACGTATTATTACATTTTAATTTTTTAATGTTATTTTCTGGATATTTTAAAAACTCGTTTTTTTTTAACATGTCATAAAATCAACTTGTGCCATTTTCTGTAATAAGAATAGTATAGCATTAGCAGTGGACTTTTTAGACAGCGAGTCTCTGATTCAATTTTTAAAAAAAATATGCTAATCAATGAAAATTGCAAATTGATAATAGTATAGTCCTGTAGAGGGTAGGTGGACTCCGGGGTCTGCATAGCGAAATACTAGGTTTTAGAATGTGAACCCCAGAGTCACCGTAGTGAAATAAGTAGGTTTCTTTAAAGATAAGTGGACCCCGGGGTCACCGTATTGAAATAAATAGGTTTAATTTTAAAAGAATTTGTGGACCCCGGAGTCACCATAGCTTTGGAGGAATAAGGAGGTTTAATTAAGGATTGGTGGATTCCCGGGACACCTTGATTAAACCTACTTATTTTACTGCCGTGACCGCAGGGTCCACCTATTCTAAAACCTAACTAGTATTTCGTTAGGTAGACCCTGGGTCCACCTTAAACCTATTTCACTACGTTGACTCCAGGGTCCACCAATCCTTAAAATTAAACCTAGATCTACATGTACTTATTTCACTACATTGACCCCAGAGTCCACCAATCCTTAATTAAACCTAGATCTACTGATTTCACTACGTTGACCCCAGGGTCCACCAATCCTTAATTAAACCTAGATCTACTTATAATTTCACTACGTTGACCACGGGCTCCGCCAGTCCTACTATAAAATAAACTGAGATCTACTTATTTCACTATGTTGAACCCAGGGTCCACCGATCCTTAGTTAAACCTAGATCTACTTATTTCACTACGCTGACTCCGGGGTTCACATCCTAAAACCTAGCATTTTGTTAGGTAGACCCCGGGGTCCACCTATCCTTTTGGCTAGATAGACCCCGTGGTCCGCCTATCCACTTTCTTGATAATGACTGAAAACAATACATGCCAGTTGTCATGAATAGTAAAGAAAAATGTGAAAAAAAAAGATAATGAGGTAGACTATAATTTGCCACAAAAATTGCAAGTGCAATTTTGTTATTTTCTGGTAATCTTTTCACGGTTTATAAAATGTTCCAGTGTACTACTAGATCTATGTCTCTGAAGAACATTTTGCTTGACTTTATTAGCTTTTTTTCATGTACTTGAAAGCATAGAATATAATAGTTTCACACAAATGTATGCACAATACTTTGAAAAAGAAAGATAAGGTCATTGTTGTTGTTTTTTTAACGGAATCCGTTTTACGTTGAGAAAGGCGCTAAAAACAAGTTAAAATTTTAAGAATGCCCATATTAGGAATCCGAAATTATTACCTTGATCTTGTTGGCTTACTATTTGATAACCATGAACAGTTAAGAAAAAAAAAAAGAGAATGATATAGGATTTGTCTAAATATGACCATTAGCAATAAAGATATTGCCCATTTTGTCCAATTATCCTTGCAAGTAAAATCACCCTGTACTGTACCTCAATACGCACAAAAAGAATATTTCTGTGACTTTGTATAAAGGTGTTTTGTAGTTGAGTTCTATGTAAAATTCTCAACAAAATAATGTATTTTAAAGTTAAAGGAACTCAAGTCCTCGTAAATATCGATATATCAATGGTTTAAAAATCCATTTTTAATGGAACTTAGTGTTTGTCAAAAATTCAGTTTTTGACCTTTGAAGCCTGATTTCTCGGTTCAAACAAATGCGGCTTTTGGTACCTTTCACCAGGCATGCTCACATATAGTGAATTTGAAGGACTAGACAGAAGTGTGTATTTAGTTAGGGGAAGTTAAAATGACATGCTCTGTGTCGTTCTGGCGGAAGGGAGTAAAAAGGAAAGATAGGATTTGAAATAATTGATTATTGAAGATACAAGTGAGAAGACTTTGCTTGCTTTTTACTAATGTGGTTTTGACATTGAAAGAAATGTAGTTTTCAAAGAAGCAGGTTTTCTTTCGTGTATACTTAATGTCTCTTTTTCTGTTCACAGCTTGCCTCGCCTACACACCTGATGAAAAACTGGGTTTTGAAGCTGCAGTAACAGCTTTAGGTAAGACTTAACTTATAGAAACACACTTCAAAACGAAACAAATGAAGTTTTTTTGTTGATAATCTGTCTTTTGTCAGCAGTCTTAGATATAGGTCAAAATGCAACTTGGAGTGGCTATTTTGTTTCAAAATGATGATGGCCAGGTTTTATTATTTTTTTCAGGCCCTCGGGGTTATTGGGGTCTTATTTTGTACTCCATGGATGAGATTCAGGGTGACTTTGAAGCCCTGTTTTTGTAGGTAAAAAGTTTCGTTCTGTATGCGATGATATATGGTAAATGTTTTTTGGAATGTACATATACAGTCAAATCTGCCTATATGGGAACCTGTCCAAGACTGACGCCTGTCATAACTGATTCTCCCTGCTCCACCCTTGAAATATTCCTTTATTATACTTTATAATTAATCGGTGTAGGATGTAAGCCTGCTCAACCTTGAAATGTAAAGAGAAATTCCTTCCGTTTCGAGAGTTTTGATCTGTTGATGACACAAAATGCGTTGCTGGCTTAACCGTGATTTGAAACAAAACTCCGAAGTTTGGTTTTTTTTACTCTAATCTTTACGCCACACTGTCAAGCGAAGGAGGAGGGAAATGGTGCAGCTTTGAAGTTGCTGTTTTCCCACTCATGTGAACCCCTGGCTGTGCGGATGATTTATATTATTAATTGCAGAAGCTGGTGAAATCTCATAATAGTTTGCAATGGGAGGTCAGTAAAGTATATCTCATGTTATGTTACCATTGATTTTTCAGACTCTTTCTCTTCAAGAGTGTATTTCTCAGGAACACAACAATAATTCTTGATGAATGTTTTTGAAAATAAGACAGTTCAGTCGAACCTTCTCTAATGGCCACCTGTCCAAGATGATTACCCCCTGTATACATGCCCACTTTTCACTTCCCCCTTTTAAAAAAATATTATAATGACACTGTCCAAGATGTCCACCTGTCTAAGACAACCCCTTTTCTCCTCGACAATGGGTCGCCATCTTGGACTATACCGTTCATGGACAGTGGATTCACTACACACACTATTGATTTCTTTTATACAGGCATGAAAGCCAATATTGCCGAAGCTGATCATCCCTTGTTGTGTGAGAGCACCCGCAGGCAGAGAGGAGAGCTGGCCATTGCCATGCTGGTACACTACAAGGATGATCAAGTCAAGTTGAGTAAGGTATGTTTGATAGAGACCTGAAGCAGTGACACACATAAGGTGGAGATGATGGTGACCTGCTTAAAAAATTCAGAGCCGTGAAAGAATCCTTTTTTTGTGTGTTAGAGGGAGGTTGCTGCTAACAACAACAAAAAAAGAAGAAAAGAATGGCTGGATTACTGTTATGTTTTTTTTCTTCAGCTGATCTTTATCTCCGTATTATGTGTATCACCGTAGTTTCATTTTTCATGGTATGTCCCTTGCGTGTGTTACAATGTTTCATATCTTATTGTAATGAGGGAAAAATAAAGAGTAACTGCACTTGACCATGCTTTCTTTTAATTATCACACAATTTTTAAAAAAATGGTTTGGTCAGTGGTCATTGTATAGTTTAATGCACCTTTCAACATTGTAAGGTAACATAAGAGATGAGACATCCTAGTTTAATGTTCGTCTTGAAAAGGTTTGAGCCAAGTGGATAGAGAGCATTAAAACCTCCCTGAAACAACCTGAGTTCAGAATTCGCCCTTGAAAATTCATATCAGGGCCATGTGCTCCAGTCCAGTGTGATACCAGTTATGTTAAGGGTGCACCAAAAACAATTTGAGAGATGTAAATTGTTTCCTTCTGTGTGTGTGTATTTGTAGATCATGGAGAAGCTGCTTGACAAGGAGGTGCACCAACAGTACAAAGCTCCCAGCCTGTTGACCTACCTGTCTGGTCACAAGCAGCCATGCTCCAGCCACGGCGCAGCTGTGTCGCAGTCTGGCAGCCAGCGGAGTAGTGAGTCTGGCAGCTCATCTGGGTACCGCAGTCAGGGCGGTGGTCGGGCTGACCTATACTATAATCTGGTGGTGCGGGAGAGGAATGGTGCAGCTGGGACGCGTTCTGGTGAGATTTTGTTTTGTGTGTTGTGCAATAGGTTTTATTAGTGGATTAGGGTGGGGGTTTTTTTTAGAGAGAGAGAGGGGGGGGGGGGCCTCAGGACTCTTGCAGCTCCTCTGAGTACCATGGTCAGATTGGTGGTCAGGCTGAACTGATCTTTTATCTAGGCTAGTGGTACGGGAAAGGAATGCTGCAGCCGGGAGGGGTTCTTGTGAGATTTTTTTTCTGTAACTAGCATGTTGCCGTTTCGTCACCTCAGAACTATTTTGTCCGAAGTGTACTAAAGTAAAGAGGCGCTTTGGCAAAATAGATCTGAAGCAACAATTTTTTAGGGGAAGGAGGGGGAGTACTGTTGTATGGGATCAGGACTTTTCTCATATTAAGACCAATGGAGACTCATCATTGGATTTTTATTTCTGTTTCATAAGGAAACGTCTCACTTTTTTCCTTTCGCTGTATTGTTTCCACCTGTCAGACTTATTCTTTCCCTTGACTTAATGACTCGGAACAAAAACAGACATTCATTAAATGACCTCAACGGATATGTTTGTTTGCCTCCTTGTTACTGTAAGTAGAAAGCCGTACGGAGCGGGGACTGTGGAGGGAGGACAGGCCTGACTCTGGCACCAGCACCGACAACACTGCCACTCCAGTGGGTGCGTCTGCTTCTTCCACGCCAAATGGAGGGGCCAGGCCCAAGACCAATTTCTCTCTCAGATATAACAGGTAAGAGTATTATGATGTATGAGCTTGCGACACTTTCAGGCTCTCACTCATTCAGTTTTCTGACTGAGTTATGCCTTGTTTAGGGATATTTTATATTGGAACAAAGATATCTGGAGAATCTGCAAGGTTTTTCACTCGTTCACTATTTGTTTTTAGCATCTAGCTGTTTTTACTTCCATAAATTAGTTTTAGTTTGATTTGTACAAACAGTGAAACTTGCTGTTATGACCACCCTGCCTGAGACATTTACCTGTACAAATGACCACTCCCACTCCTCCTTTTTGCATATAAAAAATCTTGAAATGACACTTATTCAAGCAGGCAACCTGTCAAAGATCACCATTTTTCTCCTGACGATAGATGTTTTTTCCCGGACAGGTTCAACTACATTTTTTTTTTGAAAGTACTGAATTTCTATCTGTTCAGTTGTGTTTGACACTAAACTGCAGGGCTGAGTGAATAAATAGATCCATGATTCGTTACATAGAAAGTGTATCTATTGATACAACTTCTGTCTTCATTTAAATTGGAAAAAGTACTATGGAACATGACCATAGCTATCACTCAGGATCACAGAGAAAAGTAACTGTTATACACAGGTGGCTGCTATGGACAGGGTGTGAATAATGGTCACTTACTAGACTTGACAAAGTGTTCATATGTTATAAAATCTGAAATCTTAAGTTTTAATCTTTCCACTTCATTTGCATAAATTTTTTTTCCATCTCAAAAGCTTCTTTCAGTGCTTCCGCTCTTCCGTATTTTTACAGAAATCCATATTTTCTGCCAGTTTCGTACTTGTTCCTCCATCATTATCAACTCAATTACAAATTCTGTAGCAAAAGATCCGTACTTCAGACCTGCCACTCATCCCGATTTAGTCGGGATATCCCGATTTTTTGCCCCAAATCTCAAGCATCCCGATTTTCCCGATTTCGATCGCGTGTATCCCGATTTTTGTCCCAGTCTGCTGTTGTGCCGGATTTTTCTAAAAACGTACTCTGTCTTCTCCTTTATCGCGGGAAGCATCCGTTGAACTTTTTGTCAGTAGGAACTCGGAGCACTATTTCCCGAAATATCGATGCCGCATTTAGTAGTTGACTCGCCCCAAGTTGTATGTGATCTTTGCCTGCACTCAGAATTCTCCAATGATAGCCTGGTAACTGTTACAATTTGGGACATACAAATAATCGATAATATTCATAGTTCCGCTGTTACTTTCAAAACAAGCCTTGTCCGAGGCCTGGTAACTGCGCGTTCACATCAAACACTCGGTCGAGCGACAGTCTTTCTAACCCTTGCACAACTACATATGACTGCGCTGACAAGACTAACACACGGCCGTTGTCGTTGCTTTAGTCTGAACGCATTATGAGGGGTAAGAGATTTGTTGGTACATTTGGTCGGTCGGCCGCCGTCGTTATCCTAGAAGTAGAACGACTGTCGTTCATCTGAGTGTTTTGTGTGAACGTGCAGTTAGTCGGACCCGTCAATAACATTGTTTCAATCGCGCATTTGCGTCACGTGACATGACATCGCCGTGTGAGTTCTGCGTGTCGGGGACCGTCCGTAGACGGGGTCAACTTAAGTTCATGTATTTCGGGACTTATTGGAAGGGGTGGGGGGGGGGGGGGTAGTAGAGGCACTCGGACAAGGAGTGCTTGATGCGATGCCTAAGGATTTACAAAATATAATGATAACTCGCACGCACACACACACACACGCACCACACACACGCGCACGCAAAGACACACATAGGGCATATAGTCCTAGTAATTTATGGACACCCCTAGAAAAATTGTAAGTCAGCTTTGGCAGTCACCCTGGTGATTTGCTGTTGATCCCGATTTTTTTCACCAAATCCCGATTTTTTTCACCAAATCCCGATTTTTTCTCCCTGAGATCCTGATTTTGAGGTTTCATAGAGTGGCAGGTCTGGTACTTACTCGCTTTCGTATTGTCTTGTATAAGTTATGGATATTTAAGGTAATTCTCTTGGTAATAAGTTAATGTTATAGAAACCTACCAGATTGCGCATTTCCTGCAATCGACTATTGTTCCGCAATGCCCTATGTATTCGTTCCGGTTTGTTCGGCAGTACAATTTTACCTGCAGATTGATCAAAATCTGGCGAACTTTTTGTGTCAATTTCCTCCTTTCTATCATTCACTCATTCGGTCCGTCTATCTTCGGATTGTTGCCGCGGCTGGAAAATCTGCAAGATGATCAAGTAAATTGACTTGTGATCTCAGACAGCAAATTACTGTCAGAAAGAAACTTTTTTTGCAAAGTTATTTTCTTGATCTAGAGAAATTATCAATGCGAAAATTCTACGACACTGGAACGTGATAAGGGTCGCGATGAAAGAAATTTAAGCTAAAACTACTAAAATATAAAATAATTTGAAGTGGTGTGCCGAGGTTGTGACATGCAACATTCAGACGTGAAAATTGAGGAAAATTAGGGTATACACTGGGTAACTGTATTGTGAAGGTACATATCTATTTATTATTCCCAGGTTTGCTTTCTATCCGTGGTGCGATGACAAATTAATTAAATTATAGTAACAATGGAAGGGGAACCTGCTTTTAAACATTGCCAGCAATGAAAAGATATGTAGGGGAAGAAATCAAAGAAGACAAAATGTTGGTGAAAAAATAAATGTCATGGGTTGTAGGCAATCTCTTCAAACAGGCTCCCAAATGCCATTTTCATCCTTCTAAAATCCCTAAATTTCAATTTCTTTGGGGGCTTTGCCCCCTGAACCCCTGGCAGAATTTTCCTTACTTTTCAGCTTCTGCTGGTGGAAGCCCTGTTCTTTGCATTTATTGAACGTACGTTCTCCATGATTTCAAAAAGTGCTGACATCCCAGGATGCAAACATCATATGTAAAAACGAAAGAATAAAGCAGGTCAACAGAAATACCCTAGTTGCACAATTACACCAGATGCAAAAAGTCACACTGATAAAAAAGAGGATTAAAATATCGAAAGAAACTTTCAGGAAGATGAAACCTGTCCTTGCAAACAAAACATAACAGTGAATGCAAAAATAAGAACCCTGAAAGTGTTCATGTGGTCAATCTTTTTGTACAGATGCGAAAGCTGGACTCTTGCTTTTTTCTGTATTAAACAATCAAAATGGTAATGGTGCACTTCTCTTTACACCCCCCCAAAAAAAAAAAAAAAACAAAACAAAACAACAACAAAAAAATCCCTCAACAGAACCACAAACGAACAAAGAAAAACCTATGAAAAAATGCACCAAAAAATTAAAAATAACCAAATAAATTTTATTGTACACTGTTCATCTTCTCAGGGTATTCATTTTTTCCCTTGGTAAATTGTATCTTCCAGTGGTAAAGATACTGACAGCTCAGCTATGGAGGAAGAAGATGACCTGAAAGCACTGGAAGCCAAGATAAGGTGTATGGGCATGAAGAAAAAACCATCACAAGGTGAGTATTTTGTGTATGGGTTTATTGCTCTTAAGAAGAAATAAAGTTGTCAGCACAAGCCTGGAATGAAGGTTTTTGGGGAACTGATTCATTGGTAGAACAGTATGTGAAGGCATATCAGTCATGGTATAGGAGACTTATTTTTACCTGTCCTTTTATCTTAGGCACAAACCATCTATAGCTTGTTATGTTCGTCAGATGCCGTTGAAACAAAATAAATTGAAATCGCTCTGTTTAATCCTCTCTGATCTCTGCGTATTGGTCTAAAAATTGGATAACCAACAGAATCTAAAAGCCAACTCACAAAGGTCACAAACTAAGATTCCGACATGTTTTCTTTGATGTCAGCCATCAAATTACTCAAAGTATCTAATATTAGATGCACTTAATATTCGATTGATTGCTCCAGAAGAAAAACTATGTTAGAAAGGAGGGAAAAAATCACATTGTCAATGAGTTTACATGCATTTTCTTACTATTCAAAACTGGGGGCCTTTAAAACTGATGCTAAAAATGTGTGTGTTTTGCTAGATTCAAGTTACAGACCCTGCCACAGACAAATACCGATGGCCTCGGGCAGAAATTAAGTCTGGAGACATACTTGTTTATAGCAGAAATAAAAAAAAACTATTTCCACAACTGATGCAGTACTTTTTGCTAATTGTAAGAAGTCCTAAAAGAAATATGTGGCGTGATACCAACCACAAGGGGGTCATTTTGATTGAAAAAGACAAAAAGCCTCTTTGTGCTTGAATCCAGGACTCTAAACAAAAGGCCTGTCTCCTTTCTCTTCTATCCACAAGTGATTCAGCCATTTTGACAGAATTCCAAAATAGGGAATCCATGTTTCATCTCTTGGGACATTTTCTGGAAGTCATTTGAGCCCATCGGGTTCAAACATGTTGAGAAATTCTGTGGCACGTCCCACCCTCTCTTTTTTTGCAGTTCCTCCGTTAGTAAATGGGGTTTCCAATGGGCACAAATAATCTTTTGCATTGACCTCAACAAAAATCCACACATATAACTAAGTTCTCGTATAGCGGTATGGGGATCTTGTGCAGTATGGTGCCAGGTAAGATCAACGGTTTTCTCATTCACAGAAAACTTTGGGCAGCCAGAACATGGATCACCTAAAGCAGTGTCTCTCTACACTGAATCCTCTTAGACAATGACATACTGGGCTATATGAACAAGCAGATTCTCTACAAACTGCAAATTTTCATGAATCTGTTATGTGATTCTCCAATTTAATAGTTCATTAAGATGTAGAAATGGATGTCTTCTTTTGTGATATCCTCCAGAGCGCAAACCATCCTTTGTTTGTGACATCATAATATAATCAAGTGTGATGTCACATGAAACTCCAAAGGCTTGTCTGAGAGTAGGCATGTCATGTATTGCTTTCTTATCCGCTAGATGGCGCTCATATAACCTTACACAGTTGCGAGCGCCGTAAAACCTGTACTAAAACAAAACATACCCGCTAGATGGCAACTTTTATAACTGTCTGATCCATCCTCATATTACATATTGCTGTGTGTATGTCCCACCCTTCAGGTATGGCCAGTATAGACAGCAGTGCACCAGAGACGACGTCTAGTGACAACTCTCCCACTCTGATCCGGAGGAACTTTGCCAAGCACCAGGGTCCTGGCAGTGACAGTGGAAGCAGTGGGGAGAGCGACTCACTGGGCTCCAGTAGCAGTGGGGACAAAGGTGTCCGCGCACAGGCCAGGGATAATGAGAGGTCAGTTGGAAGACGTCTATTCTTGGTCCTATTTTTTGTGAAATATAAAATCTAGTGAGGATGGGAGGTTTTTGAGGGGATGGGATTTTGGAATCTTATCTTATCCATTTTTAGAGAAATGACACACCAGTTTTTTGGCTTTTTTTTTCTCTTTTGTTAAAATCTATCCTGTTTTAAAAAATGACGGCATCTGAATAGTACTGCAGATGGGTTTTTTTTTTTTTTTGGGGGGGGGGGGGGTTGTTTTGAAAGGTCTATTCCTTGCCCATTTGTGAAGAAATACTGGTATCCAATTAGTGTGAAAGGTGACTTTTTATCATTTAAAAATGTTTAAATTCCGTGCCCATTTCCATAGGACTGACATCCTGTTAATAAATCATTATGCATTTGAGATGTGTGTTGTTTTCCTTTAGATGAGAAGTTACAATGTTTCAAAAGGAGAAAGTTAAAGTTACCATGATTGTGTAAAACTCTGTATCCCCACAGATGGAAGGCTCAAGTAACTTCACAAATACAATAACTCCTTAGGCCAACTGGTTCTTTCCCCTTTTCGTTTTAATCCAATGGGGGGGCGGGGGTTTACAACATTGCTCCAGTTATATTCAAGCCATTGCCCCTCTCATATCCTGACTCTGTTGATAGCCAAATATCCTTTTGCAGCTGAATGAGCTGACAAGAATTAGGGTTAGTCACCTTTCCTAATGATTCAGCGACCTATAAGATGGAAACAGGAATCTTCGCCCTCACAACTTTTTATTGCAAATTCAACACACTACTGCATATTTTCATTGTTTTGTTGATTCTTTTTCAATTGTGTTTTTCTGTTTTTGCTTCTTTCTGTGCATCCAGCCCTCCAAGTCCCTATTTGAACCGGATGTTGTTACCCCAGGCACTGATGGACTCGAGAGGACAAGTCAGTGGAAAGAACATCAGGTATTGTTGGGGAATTGGTGGTCCTAGGAAAACAAGTTGTGGGATGAGGGTTGTGCTGGGCTTATATTCTTCTGTCATATTTCAGCTGTTTTTTTAAATGTGAGTTATAACATAATAGGAAAGCTGGGCAATAATTTTTACTTTAACGCCAGCCTTACCAACTGTCCTGAATTTGCTGGGACTGTCTCTGAATCAGCATTTTCACACCCTACTGTAATGGTGACGTCTGGTTTTTACATATCAATACTTAAAAGTATTTTCACTTTCACTTTTTTAGACCTGTCGGAAATACTTTTTATGTTCAGTGAAAAGTATTCTGACACTTGCTTAGTTTCAATATGATGTAGACAAAAGTGCTTGCTTTCAAGGCAAATTTGAGCACTGTGGACATTCCAGGGTCAATATAAGAGAAGGATAATAATAGGTAGTGTAAACACAACATGTGAGCCAACCCGTGGCCATGTGAGCTTTTGGTTTCAGTAAAATGAGGGTAATTCAGATCACAGATGTTTGCGACAGCCATATTTCTCCATATGTATGGAAAGAGAACCCCTGTGAATAAATAAGCTCATTTCCTGGGCGTGGTCTTCGACAACAAACTTTAATTTCTTTCACACTTAAAGGCCTAGAAACTAAAAATCAGAGTGCTGTCAATGCCTTAAAAGTGGTATCCAACCATGATCCGGGTCAGACACAAAAACTCTTCTTCAACTCTACTGTTGTCTTTGGATCGGCTTGAAAATCATACCGTAAACTTTTAGACTCTATTAAGGACCATGGCGTTTGCCTTGCCCTTGATGCTTTCCGCACTTCACCAGTTGAAAGTTTCCAGACAGAAACAAACAAACGTGGCGTCGGTAGCATAGTGGGTCCCTTGGGAAGGCACTTTACATGAATTTTCTATTTGGCTAGGTCCTTTTCAGGATAGGCATGAAACACAGAGGTCCCACTTTTTGAATAAACTAATAGTGGTAATAAGGACATTAAGCACATACCATTTCAAGCAAACGAACCATTTTGAGAAATTAAAAGGGAAAAACTGTACTTGCAGTTTGTCCTGAAACTCATTTCAGTACCTCAAAACCCAGCCCCAGTCTTCCCGAAGACCTAAAAACCGCACCCTCCTTAACACTTTTCACCCACGCAGCGGCAGCGTACTGGGCACGCAACACTTATCCCCACGGACCAGGAAAGGGGTGCGGTACACGCTATATCACACCGTTACCGATCGGCGTCCGGTGGGGAAAAGGGGCGGCTTCTTACCGGCGATCGGTCCTTGGGGGGGGGGGCAAAGTGCTGGAGTGAGAATCCAAATTTAAAAACACAAATTTACAGAACATATTACATCAGTTTGGATAGAAATTTGGGACCACCAACCGCTCAGGAAACCAGTGTCTCTTCTATGAAGAGAAAAAGTTATATATACAAGATTAAAAATTAAACATGCATGTCACTCACAAGTATCGCCTTGAAGGAGAGGAAGCTCCTTTTTATTTGACATGCAACACTTATTTTACTGTTTGATACACTTTAGTAGGATATGTCAATTTTAATCGTGCTCATATCATACCAAAATGTAATTTAAACTGCTTTTTGAATCGTCAACCTCAAGATGACACTGAATTTTGTAAAAGAAATTGGTTTCTTTACAAAAACATAGAATTACCTAGATGAACACATTACTATTAGAATAGTAAAAAGTAACATTCTTACCATATTTACGAAGAATTTTATAGATATTTGTCCGTCCCTTCAGTAACAATTAGGCTGGTGACAGTACATCTGTTTTTGGCGTTTACATGACCAAAACTGTGTTGACAGCGCTGCAAAACACTACACGATCAATCAAACACTTTAGTTTGTAAAGTTTTTCTATTAACTCATTCGCTGCGCCGAGCCGGGGGGGGGTGTCCAAAGTGCCGTCAGTACGCTAAGCTGCCCCTGGCGGCTCAAAAACCGATCTTCAATTTTAGCTTAGATTCTATTCCAATCCACATATCCATGTTAAAATAAAGGTCATAATATAATGTTGACTTCCGGGTCAAGCATTTCAACTGAAAATCGGAAATTTAGATTCAGTTTTGAAATGCGATTTCGTTCGTTTATTCGACTTTGTTTTATCGCGATGCCAAAATTATAGCCCGGACACCAGTCTTAGTAATTTTACTCAACAAAATCTATCATTATTTTGCCTACTAAAGAAATGTAGGACTCTTTTTTTATAATATTGATACGATTGGACTCATATTGCCAATGCACTGTTCTTGAGAAATCAATATTTTTGAATGCTAGATCTATATCTAGGTCTTAGATCTAAATTGTCAAAATATTTTTTCCCCCAAAATCACTACTTTTTGATGAAATTACACAAAATGTACCACTCAAGACATGTATAGGTTTATTCCAAATGCAATTCTGAATAATTCCATATAAGATACGAGTGGGTTTTTTCTGTTTTTGATTGTTTTTCAAGATTATAAAATTTTTTATTTTTTTTTCCAATATCGGATGTTATGTTCAAAATGTACAAATATTATGGAATGTAGGTAAATAACTGCAAACTTTTCAATATTTTCCAGTTCTGTATTCATTTATGGTTATTTTGATGTATCATTTGACTAGGTGCAAACATATTTTTTGAGTTTCACCAAAGATTATAAATTTTTCATTTTCAAATTTTATCTGCATCCAATCAAAATTGTGTTGCATAAGCGTCTCTTACAGGAACCAAAGTTGAAAAATACATAAATAAACATTACAGATGTATTCTACAAACCATACTGAAAATATTGGTATATAATACATTGATATTTATTTGAATTTGTTGCCCCAAAAACCATTTAACTGCCCACTAGTCATCATCTCTTTCGCCCTCCCGAAAAAAAATTCGTCCACAAGCCGAAAATAATACGTAGCGAATGAGTTAACATAATAAAAATCCTGATAAAATAGGGGACAAAAGATTTATATTATGGATACCTGTGTATTGTGTTTGTACATATACACTAGCTTAGAAAATGTTTCTATTCAAAATATGTTTTTTTGCTCAGGTACAAAGGCCGACAGAGGATCATGCCCACAGTACCCAACCAACCGAGTGAAGCTGGGTACCATTTCATGTTTGAACTGGCCAAGACTGTGCTGCAGAAGGCTGGAGGCACCTCCTCCACCTCTCTGTTCACACAGCCCAGTAGCAACACCGGCCACACCGGACCACACAGGAACCTGCATCTCTGCGCTTTCCAGATTGGACTCTATGCATTGGGCTTGAGTAACTGTGTGGCTCCCAACTGGCTCTCCAGGACCTATTCATCTCACGTGTCCTGGATCACAGGTGAAATAAGAGTTCTTATCCCTCCCCTTATTTCTTGCAATAAACTATTAAAGCTGCAACATGTCAAACAATTTGAAATCATAATACAAAAAATTTGTCATAGAGAAGCCTGTTTACAAGAAATGTACATTTGACGTTGCGGGCAAAGATCTTTTTCAGTGTTTGTTTTTTGTTTTAGTAAGAGTTTTACAGCGCTCGCAACTGCATAAAGTCATATGAGCGCTCAGTGTTTGTGTAGGTTCTGAAGAAGGATCTTTGCTAATTGCAGACCTGCCACTCATCCCGATTTAATCGGGATATCCTGATTTTTTGCCCCAAATCTCAAGCATCCCGATTTTCCCGATTTCGATCTCCAATATCCTGATTTTTTGTTGTTGCGTCAGTTGCGTCCGATTGTTAGAAAAAAATACAAAGTTGTGCAATCTCTTTTGCTTGGAAGAACCGATTAGAGTTTTCATCGACAGGAACTTGGAACGCTACTTTCTGAAGCATCTATGCCGAATCTAGTAGATGACTCATGCACGTTATTTGAACTAAATCCGACGTAGTATCGATTTTGAATTCCGACTTGGATACGCTCAAGATGTACTTTCGCTTTTATAACCCAGAATTCTCCGACTGTGTCCTGATTACTGTAACAATTATGCCATGGGCCTAAGAATAATCTATTTGTTGTTCTGCCGTTGGTTTAAAAGCAAGCTTCGTCTTGAGTTCTGGTTAGTCGGGCCCATCATCAAGACCCGTCAGTGGAACTTTCAAACGCTCATTGGCAACACGTGACATGACCTCGTACGTGTGAGTAGCGTGTGTGTCGGGGACCGTCGGCTGTCGGGGTCAGCAAAGTTCATTCACACCAGTCGCATTGGTCGGGGTGTTTTCGAGACTTAACCAGGGCGACCGGGGGGAGCGGGTAGGGGTATTGTTTTGACACTTGGGCTTAAAGTGCGTGCCGTGATACAAGTAGAACCTACTAATTGAGGATAGAGGAATAAGAAAAAAGAAAGAAATTAACAACCTTGGCGCTATCTTTTTTTCGGGGGGGGGGGTGCCATAAGTGTATTTGCGATGGAAGTCAAACGTTGTTACTGTATGAAAACGCGGTCTTTTTGCGTGGATGATTACAGTTATGTGTCAGCTATTTTCAAGACTACGAGAGTTTCAGCTGTACTGCAACCTGCGCTCCCCCACTCTATCCCACTCCGACTCGAGTAATGCTGTCTTTCAGTTTTCCCTCTATTTAGTGGCCCAAACGTGAACTTATTCCTGCAAAAGTTTTCAAGTTTTCTCTTGCATACTTTCCTCATAAAAGGGAACCAGGATCCCCCTTCCCCAGTACCCCTTATGACTGATTTGCCGTTGATCCCGATTTTTTTCACCAGATCCTGATTTTTTTACTCTAACATCCTGATTTTTAGATTTCATAGAGTGGCAGGTCTGCAATTGTAAATTTCCCCATGTTTGGGCTTTTGTACAAACTTTTTTGGGGGGATTTATTATTTGTCAGGACCAGTTGCTTTTCATGTTTGCCAGGCTAATTTTGGGTGATTTCTGGGAGTGGAAAAAAATTAATCCATGTTTCTGCTCATATTGATTGTTTTGAGTGAAAACACCATTAGTAGAGGCAGTGTTACTTACAAGAAGTCTTTTGTTTTGCTCTGTACCTTTTCTAAATAAAGTCATAGTTATTCTAAAAGTATTATTTTGGTTTTTTTCATGGAATTTGAAGAAGTGTTAGTAATATGAAGCAATTGTGCCTTATATTCATGTTGTCTCTAGTCTTTGTACTCAGTTTGATTTGGAGATAGAAATATCTTTAAATCAGATTACCAAGTTTTCCTATTTTTATGTGCTTATTCTTAAAGCAAGTCTGATCGAAGATCTTATTTCTCGTTCTGTCTCAGGTCAGGCCACAGAAATCGGCAGTGCTGCAATCCGCATGATCGTCGACACGTGGGAGGGTCACCTGACCCCACCAGAAGCAGCCTCATTGGCTGACAGAGCATCCCGAGGTGGCGACCCCACCATGGTGCGTGTGGCCGCGGAGCTGGCTCTGTCGTGTCTGCCTCACGCCCATGCCCTCAACCCCACGGAGGTCCAGCGGGCTCTGTATCAGTGCAAGGAGCAGAGCCGCGACATGCTGGAGAAGGCCTGTCTTGCTGTGGAGACAGCTGCAGAGGGAGGCGGAGTCTTCCCAGAGGTTTGTTACCTCTCCTCCTTCTACTTTTCCTTTTTCTTCTGTGTCATCTTGGGAACTGGGAATGCAGTTGACTCAGTTGGTATCATTCTAGACTTCTGAGTGGATAGCCCTGGTTTGAATCCCCAACGGGATGTTCTCAACTTTATCTGTTTAAGGGAGATTTTAAAAGGCTCATCACACGTTCGGCTCGGTCCTATAAAAAATGGACATTAAATTCAGAGAACATTTTTTTTCCTTCTTTTTCTTCTTCTTTTTCCTCTTCTTCCTCTTCTTTTCTTTCTCTTCCTTTTCTTTTTCATCGTTTTCATGATGTTTGCCTATGATATTTTTCGCTATACCTTGTGCTAGCTCATAGTTTTATTTTTAAAAAGGCAAAACCCACCCTCAAAATAATTGTAAAAACATCCGTTTTTTTTGTTAATCCTTTGCTGCAATGTCTTAATTGGGACGCTTTATGTGATTTGCAAGTGTTGATGTTTGGTACATATGATATGTCTTGAACAAGATTTAAGTGAACTATATGTATCGTGACACAAAATTATCAGTTTTTTATTTAGCAGCTACTGAAGGTGTCTCTTTAATCTAAATGCCATGTTGAAATCGATTGAGGTCTTTTTTATGCTCAAAGAAATTAATGATTGTTGAATTTCCTTTTTTTCATCATATAGTTATGTTGTATAGGTCTTTTAAAGACAAATCAAGAAATGAAAGAAGGTTTGTCCATAGATGTAAGAAATAAATTTCAAGCTTTGGAAAACATTACTAGATCGGAAGAACTATGGAGGAAAATGAAAGACTCAATAATGGAAGCTGTGGAAGAAAATATCCCCCCGAAAGCTAAAAAAAGCTGATAAAAAATGGATGACCCAGGACATATTAAACCTAATGGGAGAGAGAAGAAAGGCAAAATCAAATGTGGAAAAGTACAACATCTTAGACAGGGAAATAAAGAAAAAATGCAACGAAGCAAAAGAAACATGGATAAACGATCAGTGTCAACAAATAGAGAAGAACCAAAACAAAGACAGCAAATACATGCATTCAAAAACCAAAGAAGTAAGTGGGATAAAAGGATGCTCAAATACAGGATGCATAAGATCAAAGGGAGGGGATATTTTAATGGACAACGGGGATGTCTTAAACAGATGGTCAGAATACATAGAAGAACTTTTCAAAGATAATAGAGGAAAAAAAACGGTAATAAAGAATGAAATAAATGGACCTCCAATACTGAAAGCAGAAGTAAAAGCTGCCATTAGGAAAATGAAACAAGGAAAAGCCACAGGGCCAGATAATATTCCAGTTGAAGTGATTGTCGCGCTCGAAGAACTAGGCACTGAAATAACAACAAAGCTCCTAAATGCTATTTATGACAGCGGTGAGACCCCAGAAGATATGATGAAGTCAGTTTTTATAGCTTTACCTAAAACACCAGGTGCCACTGAGTGTGATATGCATAGAACAATTAGCCTTATGAGTCATTTTACAAAAATATTGCTGCGAGTAATAATGGGAAGATTGAGAAGAAGTGTAAGACCAGAGATATCTAAAACGTAATTCGGCTTTGTTCCTGACAAGGGCACCAGAAATGCTATATTCACCTTACAAATGTTAATGGAAAGATGTATTGAAGCACAGAAAGATCTGTATTTATGCTTCATAGATTATTCAAAGGCGTTAGATGAAGTTAGACATGATGAGCTATTTAAAATACTGGAAAAACTAGACGTAGATGGAAAAGATCTAAGAATTATCAGAAATTTGTACTGGGACCAAAACGCTGCTGTACGAATTAATGGAGAATACAGTGAATATAAGCAGATTAGGCGAGGAGTGAGGCAAGGATGTGTTATGTCACCAGACCTCTTTAACACGTACAGTGAAACAATCCTTAGAAACATAGAATAATGTCCAGGCCTCAAAGTTAATGGAGAAAATATTAATAACATCAGGTATGCAGATGACAAGGTTTTAATAGCAGGCTCCGAAAATGACCTTCAATTGCTTCTTGATACTGTTGTAAAAGAAAGTGAACGTAAAGGATTATTGTTGAATGTAATAAAAACAGAATGCATGGTAATATCCAAAAAAGCAGCAAATCCTAGTTGTAATCTCATTAGCAAAGGTGAAAAGATCAAACAAGTCCAACAGTTTAAATATCTAGGATATATGATAACATCTGATGCCAAATCTTCCACAGAAATAAAAAGGAGAACTGCAATGGCTAAGGCTGGTTTCAATAAAATGAGCCCAATCCTGAAAAATAGAAACATATCAATGAACACCAAAATGAAAGTCCTGATATGCTATGTTTGGTCAACCCTTCTATATGGCTGTGAATACTGGACAATCACTAAAGACAGTGAAAATAAAATAGAGGCAACAGAAATGTGGTTTCTTAGGAAACTGCTAAGAGTATTGTGGAAGGAAAAGAAATCAAATGAGGTAGTGCTTGATGAAGCCCACGTGGGACGCTCAATGTTAAAAACAATCAGGAAACGACAAATGCAGTTTTTGGGACACCTGAATAGACATAAGGGTCTTGAACATCTAGCTCTCACTGGCAAAATTGAGGGCAAGCGAGGCAGGGGTAGGCCCAGAACAACATACTTAGGGAACGGGAAAGATCAGGGAAACGTAGCTTTTCTGAGAGCATCCGAGCAAAGAAATGAATGGAAAATCATGATCGCCGATGTCTGTCGCAGATCTGGCACTGGATGATGATGATGAGTTATGTTGTACCACTGTTAGGTTTTTTGCCGATGCATGTAGAAGATACGAGTTTGATTACCACATGGAGGAGATATTTGTCTGATTTGGCCCTGAAAGGTAGGGTTTTGAACAGCCCACCTTTTACATGATGTAAATTTGATGTGCGAGGAAGGTCTAAAGCAATACGGAAAGCTGCTCAAAGTCTTTACCCTGACTTTGCAGGAATTGTTATTTAACAATGGAACATGGAGATTGTGGTTTCTATCTTTCTGGAATACTGCTTATGTGAATTTTGGGAAAAATCTGATCAAATTAGTGAACTTCGGGGTACTCTGAGTTAACATAGTACTTCAATATGAAATGATAGCGCCATTTTCAATGGAAAGAATGTCAGCAATGGAGTATTTTGAATATCACTCTGTAATGTAATCAAACTTTTTTTTTATTGGTGAAGAAAATCACCTGCAACAATTTTTTAGATGTTAAGTGTTTACCTACCTAAATGTCCTTCTCATGAAAATGTTTAATTTGGACAAAGAAATTCAAACCAGTCTGTCTGATCTTGGTAGCCAATGTGAAGGGCATCGAACCGTTGTTGGTTTTTTGAAGAAACAGGTACTTGAAGACATGATGAGTAACTGTTAAACAGTTAACAGGTGCAGTGCACCAAAAATAAGTGTAGGCTCCATAGAAATTATTCTGTGAGACCATCTTCACATGTCCAAGGTATGGACAAGGTGGGTGTCTTGATTTTTGGCACCAGATCGAAAATAACAAAGAGCTGACTGTTGCAAAGAAGTCATTAGATTAGAATCGGAAGAAGCCCAATTTTTGTTTATAAAGTTGTAACAATGGATGAACCTGGGTTCATTATTTTGGTCCTGAACAAAAATCTTCTCTGAGGCAGTGAGTAACTCCTTCATTCCCATCGCCAAAAAAGGCAACGGAGCAACCTTCAAATGGAAAGGTTATGTTGTCCTGCTTTTCTGACAGGGAGAGTGTCATCATGACAGACTATTTGGAAAATGGCCATATTGTCCCTGAGGACTATTATTTGCAGTTGTTGATGAAACTACGATCTACCATAAGTTTGCCAAGAAAAGATGAGGGAAGCTGCGAAAAGGAACCCTTCTGCGCCATGGCAATGCTCCAGCTCATTGAGCGGTAAAGGCAACTCAGATTGCAAAGCAGTGTGGCTATAAAATTCTCCTACACCCCCATTGTTTACGGATATAGCATCCTGTGAGTTTTTCCTTTCCCCAAATGTGAAAAATGTTGTCATAAGACACAGCGATGAAGATGCTATGTCTGCAGTGGAGGAATGATTAAAGTCTCATCCGAGGTCATATACTCGAGGACTTGAAAATGTCAACCAAAGATGGCAAAAGTGTGTCAATTTACAGGGTGACCATGTAGAGAAGCAATATTGTAAGTGTCGAATTTCAACTTTAAAGCTCACTTCTTCATAATAAAGTAAAGACTTATTGAAAACCCCTGGTACAGTGAATAACAATAACTGATCTTTTCTGCTAGGTATTGTTTGAGGTTGCTCGCCACTGGTACGAGTTGTCTGAGGAAGCCAGCCAGAACTCCCCTGATTCAATGGACAGTAGTGATGGTAGCAGCCACACTCTCAGAGGGAGGAGAGAGTCTGGAAGTCCTGCTTCTCATGCTTCCACTGATCCAGGATCCTCAAGGTAGGTGGAGTTTTCCATGTTACAGCTGGCCGTCTTTATGAACAGTTCTTCTTAATGTGTGATATGGTTGTTGAATAAATGTGTTTTGCTGTTGAAAAAAATTGTCAGATTTTTCGTGGAAGAAAAGATTGGTGAGGCATCTTGGTGAAATCAGCTGCTTGTCAAAAAATAAAATCGAAGATAGATGCATATTTCTGCCTGTTTGACAATTTTTGTCGAATTTTTTGTTTTTGGCTCAACGCATTTTATATCCATGTAAAAACACACTTCTGGGTGAATTTTACTGAATAAAGTTGATTAAGGACACACAAATGTAAATTTGCTGTTTGTAAGGACTCTTAAGCTTTGAAAGTCACCAAACTTTTGCAGCCATTTTCTAGCTAATTTTACCTCTGAAATCAGGTGACTCCCACTTCTTTGATCTAAAATATTTTGACTTCTACTCGAGTGGGTATTTTTTTTCATCGAATGCAAGGCAAATAATCAAGCTTTTAGGTGAAACCAATAACTTCACATGCCCAAAAATTGACGAGTGCCTGATTTCACTGTGTCATCTCACATTTGTTTTATGGATAAACCCAAACTTGTAAGGAATAGCGTCTTTGGGGCTTTCTTTACTTTTTTTGTGATATGAAGTTCAATAGAGAAAGCATATGTTTGAGACTCTGAAATTGAACTTTCTTCTGTCAGTAGCGATCGGACAAGTCCCAGCAGTGGGCCCAAGTCCAACCACTACAGCACAGTAGCAGGGGTGGCGGTCCACAGCAGCCAGTCCCCAGCCCACAGCCAACAGCAGGTGGCCTCCCCTGTGTCTTCCTCCCCTCAGCTCATCCCCAGCTCCACGCCGCACCTGCCCCCGCAGACAGTTGTCCTGGTGCCCGCCCACAGTGCCGGCCCACCCCCGCTGGGAGCCCACTATGTCCAGCCCTACAACTATGTCCAGCCTGTGACCACCGCTACCCCACCCCCCGGGGCCTTCTCCCACCACCAGTTCCCACACTCTCCCAGTGGCCAGCACTCGCACCATGCCATCCACAGCCACAACCTGCATCCCCACACGGCCTATGTGGCCTCCTACACCTACCCCACGCAGGCTTCCTTCACCAGTCTGCCACCCAACATGTACCACACCGGGAATGCTCCACACTTGCGAGCTCTGCCACCTGTGCAGGTAATGTACAAAAACACTAAATTAACTAACGTCAATGGCTTATTTTTATTATCATCCTCCTGTTATGTTCTAGAAATAACAAATTCTGCAGCATCAATGTTTTATTGACATGTTTAGTGGTGTTGGCGCTGTGAGAAGGTGCGTTGTCCGTTGTCATGCCTGAAGATGATTACTTGAATTATATTTATAAATGAGGATAAGATATGTCGTTCTGGCACATGCGCAAGGTAATCCTCTGTAAGAAGCCTCTTTTGATTCTCACAAGTTTTGTTCATTCCAACCAGACCACTGCAAACCATGACAGTTCAGTAGCCCATTTCTCACTGACAAATGATAATGTCAAAAATCTAACACTGTCCTGGAGCAAAAGGGTTTGTGCTCTACATGAACCTAATGGCTCGCACACAAAATACTGATGAACACATATGTTTAGTCCAATTTTTACGTGATAATTGCGACTGCATTGTTTTCCAGTCTGTATGAAATTATCTTCATAAAACTTCATTTTTCATTGTAGATATACAAATTTCTTTTCATTTGAGAAGCAATACATTTCCATTCTGCCATTGCTTACGCACCCTAAAACAAGCACAAACACATTTTTGAGTTTTTATGATTTCACCAAAATTTGTCATGGCTGATTTTTAAAGCTTACTTTTGAGTGACTGAATCTAAGATGACTTTTATCATAGATGTAAAATTGATATGTCAAACCATGCAGAATTTTTTTTACCTTTAAATTTATATATTGTATGAGTTGATAGTCCAAGGCTTTAACATGATAATCAGATGAATATATATTCAAGTGTTTTGTGTTTTTTACACCATTGTATATATACATACTGGTTCGAAACCTGACAGCGATGGACAGTTTTCTTGTCGAAAATTTTTTCTTTCACCCCCTTTCCTGCTCTCTTACCATTGTCTGTCGTCTGCTTTCATCTCCGCTTTCTTGCACCGCCGCGCCCCCCAAGTGCTTCCAATCTTCCGTATTTTTACGGAAATCAGTACTTTTTGACAATTCCGTACTTGCTCCCCAATCATTATCAACTCCATCGGTAAAAAAGTGCGGTAGCGTAGGGCTACCGAAATTCCCGGCAAAGGATTTGCACTCCCCATTGTATCGTCTTGCATTTATGATATTTACGGTCATTCTGTCGGCAATAGGTTACTGTTATAGGAACCTGCCGGACCCGGGAGTATGAGGAAATCTGTGAATTGCCCCGGTTAAGACCCTGGAAAATACTTAAAGTTCTAGAATATTTGAAAACCTAATCGGAAATGTCAGTAAATTCATTTTGCCGGTCGCGATTGTGATGTTCGTTTGGCTGTTCCCGGTCCAAGAGTACGTTTCAGTTTCACGCGAACAGGCGGCTATGGTTGCAGGCAGAAGTGTTGACACTGAGATTCAATCGGGATAATCAAGATATACTTTTGCTTTCGTTACCACCCAGAAATTTGCGGGTGATAGCCTGATACCGCAACATGTGACATGCAGGTTATGCATTATAAACGCTGTTTCGCCACGCAGACAAAAAATTAATATTTGTCACTTGTAACATAAAGAAAAGAAAAGAAAATACAAGCGGCGTCCGATTTACAGCTTGTCGGGCTCATCATTGTGACAGTTTATCTGCGTGCGTTCACGTCACATGCTACAGCATCATGTGAGTGTGAGTACCGGCGGTTGTTGGGGTCGCCAAAGTTCATTCAAAGTCTGAGCTTTGGGAAATATTATTATTGATTTTTTTTTTTAAAAGATACACGAGGGGGTGCTGAAGGTGATAACAGGTTTTAGAATTTTGATTAGAGCTCTCTGCAAAGTGTACTTTGGTGCAGGCCTTGTGTGGAATCGGGCTCCGCCATACCTTGTAAGCCTTGCTTTTGAGCTAAAGTGTTTGGGTTTCATTGGATGGGTAATAGTGATAGTAAATTATTACTATATTTTAGCTTTCTGTTCAAGATTGGCAGATTTTCAGTGTCACTGCATCTTGCCCTCCCTCAGTTTTTACAACTCTCACACTGATACGTCTACTTGAACCATTCAAGTTATTACTTTATTTTGAGTGAGTTTGAGCAATAATATTGATGAAAAAAAATATAGGTGTTATGGGTTGTTGGTGTTCTCTTCAAACAGGCTCCCAAATGCTGTTTTTAAACCTCTAAAAGCATTACATTTCAATTTTTTCGCCCCTGAACCCCCACCGGGACGTTGTCCCTGGACCCTGCTGGGGGTTTTTGCGGCCCCAGACCCCCGGCAGAATTTTCCTTATTTTTCATCTTCAGCTGTTGGAAGCACTTCCCCCTCCCCCTTGCCCCCTCCTCTGTGCTCCTGACTTTTTCTGTGGCCTTTCTGCTGCTACTCCTTGGTTCCTTCTTACTGCTGTCTTTCAGCCACACCCCTGATCTTATGGTAGGTAAGATCTAACACCTAACCTCGGATAAGAGCGAAAAATCTCGGAGGTCCCATGTGCTAGTTGCGCACATTAAAGATCACTTAGTGGTCCTAACAAAATTCCATGAAGGTAGGCTTCGGTGGCCAACAGGGCAAAATTCAAAATTCCTTCCACACTGAAAAAAAAAAAGTTAAATGTGTCCCACACGCTCATATGACCTAATGCAGTTGCAAGCACGGTAAAACACTTACCAAAACAAAAACAAATATATACATAACATTTTTTTCTTTATCAAGTAATTTCAAAACTGTATCTTTGACTTTTAAGGGCATTGAACATTTTTAAGAAGATGGAAATGGACAGTATAAATGATATTGATTTATTATCATTATTATCGTCATCTAATAGATCAAAGACTTAAAGACAAGTTGTGTTCTTCACTGACTGAAGTCAGCTTGTGAGATCCAATAGTGGAATGCCAACAGAAAATAAGAAGACAGCCATGCAGAAATGTATCTTTTTACCAATATACTATTTAAGCCGCAAGACTCCCAATAATTTAAGAGAATCACATGCAAATATTGCAGAAAAGCCTCAACACAAAGACATGTCTAATAAATGTCTGTCACTTTTGTTTTTCATTCCTACAGGTTTTCTCTAGCCAGCCTCACCCGGCCATGCATGCTATGCACCCTGTTGAGGTGGTCACTACCAGCCCACCATCTGGCAATCCTTCCCCAGTGCAGAATTCCACTGTGGCTGTCCCACAGGTATACAGTTTGTGGGCCATGATTTTCATGATTTCATTGATCCCTTTGCTCATTTATTTATTGCTTTTAATTTTTTTAGTTTGAGAAAAGCCATTCAGATGTGTAGTTGTATGGCACCACTGGTAGGTCCTACATTTTTACTTTCCCTCTGTTTCTGATTTGGGCTTTCCCTGCACTAAATGATAGGCCTAGCCATAGTGTGTGGATGTGCTTGTTTTTACTCAATCCAGCTAAATCGATAAGCTATAGACATAATAATGGCCATTTAGTGCAGGGAGGAAGCAAGATAGGGACAATCAACACAAGGAAAGGAAAGCAGTAGGATCTACCAGTGGTGCCTGAGTACACTTGCTTTTTTAAATTCAATTTTGAAGTGAATATAGTTTTTGTTGATAAGTGATATGATATTGGTGTGGTTTGATGAGCCTTAATTGTTCTGTGCATTCCCTCCATAAACACTTTCAAGTTCTGCCTGAATTTCAGTGGGATTTTTCCTTTTTGCATGAAGAAACAGAATTACAACGCTAATCTCTTCTTTTGATCTATTTTGTGGAGTGGTTACAAACTTTGTTGCTATTTAGTAAAATGGTTGCACTAATTTTGTTCGTTTTAATGGGGAACCCAAATAGAGTATTCTCTAAACTACTAAAAACATTTCCAGAATTGAAAAATATAACTTCGTTATTCAAATATAGATACCTCAAATAGTGATGATTGTGACAACGTAGAGTTGGAAATGTCATGCTTGCAGAAAATTCTAGATGTTGAAAAAAAAATGCTCTCATCTACCTCTTTAAATAACTGCAATTTGATCTGCAGATTGCATGTATTGTGCTTTCCCTTTAGTAATTTGTGGATGGTTGGCGGGTGCTCTTGTGTGGTTTGCTCCTTCTTTCCTATCTAACATCTGTCGTCTTTATCTTTCCTCCTCCTTTTTGTGTTAGTTACTCCCTTTTAGCATATCTAATCTTCGGCACTTATTTGACCTTATTGTGTTGCAGGTGCCGTAACACTCTTACTGAAACTTTAGTAATTTAAATTTAGTAAGCTGTTTAACCTGCTGAACCATTACACAGAAAAGATGAAACAGTCGATCAGCACGCTGCACTGCACACCGCACTGAGTTCTATGCTAGTCTAGAAAAACGGAAAAGCCCAAGGCTGTCCTTGTTTGACTCGGCCGATACGCTGTGTGTAGGCCTATTGATGTGCATGATAAATGAAAGCAAACAGTACTCGGGCAGTGCCCCTCTGGCCTTCAGTGGACACATGTGCGTTCTTGTGTCCCTTGATCCTGTTTTGCTGTTTTGAAGCATGTGAGAATTGATGATTTGGGTTTCTTGAGCACTGCAAGTGGATGTTTCGTAGACGTAAGCCTCAAAATTCTTTTTGGGTTAGATTTGAGAGCATTTTGACCAATCAATAGTTTTCATACAAAGACAAAAATAAAAAAATAAGGATTTTATTTTCTTTCAGTTTGTCGCTATTTGTGGATAAACCGTGTTTGGTTTTGTGTGTATACTTATATATATTGTTTTTGAATCTTGAAATTTGTCACCCTTATCCGAGAAAACTAGATACTTTTTCTTCCACATGGAAATAATGCTGGGTCCCTATGTTATGTCCTGCTCCTAGGTCCAGCCATGCACCCACAATCAGTTGCAGCTGAACTACTTGATGGCTGCATTCAGAACTGGCATGCTGGCCATGGAGACCTTGTCCCGAAGAGTGCACGACGACCGTCCGCAGACCAAGTATGCGAGGAACCCACCGTACGGAGAAGACGTCAAGTGGCTTCTCTCTAGTGTGGCTATCAAACTGGGTAAGATGGGTAGAAAACTGAAAGGCTGAGAAGATCCTGCTATAAATTTGTAGTCCGCTGAGTTACTTATGGTAGCATGTTAGTGGGGTGGGAATTAGCAAGTCTGCTCTGTTTTTGTCAAGAGTCTGAAAATGTTTGGTCTATTGGAATTAGTTTGAGTAATTAAGTCAAAGTGACTTTCTTTTCTTATTAGTACCTGTTTTGATTGTGTAAGGTTTTAACTTTTTGATGTTTTAGATCATATACAGGTTATTTTAGGACACTATCTCTTATATTCTAGCCTGACTACTGTAATTCCCCTCCTGCTGTACTTCTCAGTGAATTATTGCGTTGCTTTCAAATTATTCAAAATTTGCATTAAGATTATTGTTATCTCTTCTGTAATTTCGACAGGAACCACTTTTCTGCAGCAGTTCTGTGCTAGTGCTGTGAATGCAGTCGTCAGTCCCTTCATTCTCTACGACCTGGCAATGGAAGCAGCTCGGTTCCTAGCTCGTAACAACCCAACACACGTCCCCACTCAGCTGAGGTCCAATATACTCAACTCCCTGTTCCAGAAATGTCTGCAAATGTAAGTTTTGCTATTGATAAACTATGGTTAAAGTCCCTGAGTCCCTGTTCCTGAAATGTCTGCAGATGTACGTTTTGCAATCAAGTAAACAAAAATCGAATTGCAACCTCCTCTTTGTTATTTTGAAATCTGGATAGAATGGAGGTTGAATACCCTGTCATGGGTTTTGGAACTGACAATGAACCTAAAATGTTGATGAGGAAGGCAGCATCACCAAAGACTGGCAAAGAGTGAGGGCTAGAATAAAGTGTTGTTTCCTAATTTAAATAGTCATTGGTGTGTAAAATTGTTACCTTCCAATAGGGTCTGCATCTCAAATGAAAAATGTGGTTCGTGGCAAGCTTAGATTATCTATAACTTCTTTGAAAGGAGCCAAAATGCTGGCGTCATAGCTGGATTACTGGTCTGATGTTAAGGTCACTGTTTGAATAGATTCTTGTTTAAGTTGCCTTATGTAATCTGTTTTGTGTGGCTTCACAAGGCTGATGTCAGCTCTTTATATACAAATGGATGCTTTGATGATAAGGTTGTTAAACCAGCTACCTCTTTGTAGATAACTAAATTCCAAATTTTGGTGATCATGCCCTGTTTAAAACGCGTGAAGTGTGTGAGTGTGACTCATTAGTTTTTTGGCGCTCGCAACTGCACAAGGTCATATGAGTGCGTAGGACACATTGAACATTTTCAGTTGTGTAGAAATTTTGAATTTTGCACGGGTGGCAGCCGAAGCCTACTTTTATCAATTTTGGAACACCAGAGGATCTTTAATGTGCGCAACGTGCCCACGGGACCTCAGAGATTTTTCGCCCTTATCTGAGAAGGCTAGTTGTTCGATCTTGCCTACCATAAGATCAGGGTTGTGGCTGAAAGACAGCAGTGAGAAGGAGCCAAGGAGTAGCAGTAGAAAGGCTGCAGAAAGAGTCAGGAGCGCAGAGGAGGGGACAAAGGAGGTGAGGGCAAAAAATGGAGACGAAAGCAGACGACAGAACATTGTTCGAGAGCAAGAAAGAAGATGAAAGGAGAAAATTTTGAGAAGAAAATTTGCTGTCTCTGTCTGGATTCAAACCCAGAACCTATTGAGTGAAAAGCGAACACCGTAACCTTTTGACCGTGGAAACTCAGACAGATTTTTGATAGGGTCAAAATTATTGAATGTACTACAGGCCAGTATTAGACCTGCATGTTTGCCGACAATCGTCTGAAATCCGACAATCGCGACCCGACCCGCGAACCGGCCGATGCTATCGCTAGGCCCAGCTGTATCAGTCAATGTGTGCGAGGCTTGGCCGACAGCCAGCGACCCCTTTTTCTCCCGTTGGCTTCGTCGGCACTTTCGTTTTCGTGCCAACCGCCGACCGCCGACGCGCGCACCGCCGACTGCCAACGTCGGCGTTTCCGACATAATTGTCGGAACCTAAGTAGAAATGCGAATATGAAAAAGGACGACAACTTAAATTATCTAGGCCTACTGTACTTTCAGTTTCGTGCTCGAGCGGCCATTTTGAATTTCGTTTGTTGACTAATTCAATTGTTCAGATCGTGAGGATTCATTCAAGTCCGACTCTCTTGTTCTAATAGAATCTAGATCTAGATCTAGATCTAGATTTATATAGATCATTATAGACCTCAATGTAGGATTCATATTCCAATTCTATTGTGTCAAACCCTATCATAGGTTGTGCTGTAATATTAATATTGGTAAAAATAAGCATTACATCAGGTGCGTGAATTATTTATTTATTTAGATCTAGAATCTAGACTCAGCTGTAGTGATGGGCAGGTATCGATACCAGGTACTCGATACTTAGATACCTATGGGTATCGGTATCGGTACCGATACCTGCTCTAAACATCGATACCTATGTGCTATTTATCCCAGGGTTGCCAAAGCAAGTGACTTGGGCCTTGAGAATTTTTTGTTTATCAAAACTGATAAGTTTTCGTAGGGGGCAAGCGTTTTAAATTATTCTAGTGATTTTTTAACAAAAAGAGAGAAGTTTTTCATGAAATGTATCTAGTGATTTTGCAAAATCTTCACTGACAACCCTGATTTATCCTCATTTGTTTAATTTAAAGTTGCTAAAAATCTGGTAAATGGAATTGCCTTTTTAGAACTCTTGTGTTTTTATTTTCAAATACTAACATTTTCTGTAAAGTTGACTTTCCTCCCATACTTCACTTAATTTTTGTTTTTATTCTCATATTTGGGTATTTCTCTCTCTCTCTCTCTCTCTCTCTCTCTCTCTCTCTCTCTCTCTCTCTCTTTCTCTCTTTCTCTCTCTCTCTCTCTCTCTCTCTCTCTCTCTCTCTCTCTCTTACAAATAATTTTTGTTTGAGTCTCAGCTAAATAGTCACAACTTGTCTAGACACGATTACCTAAATACTTGGAAAAGTACAGTTGTATTTTTGTCTTTACTTATTACCCCAGGCGTATGTTACCAATAGCATTAGGTATCGAGGTATTGGTATCGATACCTTGAAAAAGTACTAGGTATCGACATCGATACCTAAATTGTGGTATCGGCCCATCACTACTCAGCTGAGTCCCTCTGTTTGGAATCGGATGCGGATTTCTAGTTCAAGGCCTATTCCTATTCACTTGTTCTACAAGATCTAGATCTAGATCTAGATTTATTTAGATTGCTAGATCTAGAACTATATGGAGTATTCATATATGATATTCCAATTCTATTGTGTTATTGTATCAAACCCTATAGCAATGTAGATGTAAGCCATATAGATCTAGAATCTAGATCTAGATTATATGCTCCTTGTTTGTTTTTGAGTGTGGTTTTTTAATTTTAATTTGTTTTTAAATTTAGGACTTGTTTTGGCCTTTTTACATGAGGCCTGTTGCAGGTTCTTTTTGGGGGTAGGGTTAGGGTTGTCTCTTCTTTATCAAGTGTTTGTTGGGGTGGCCGCTCGTTACTCGGATGTCCTTCCTTATGACACCCACATAGGCTTTTTTTTTGGGGGGGGGCGGGGGGCGCAAAATTTTCAGACAATCTAGTTGAGGCTCACATGCAGGTCTACAGTATGTCAAAAATATAGGTGTAGTGAACTACTTGTTTGACCCTTTTGTGCTGTGATCATGGAAGTTTTTTTGTGTGTACAATTAGTGAATGTGAGTGTGCTCTAATGTGGTGTGCTACTTCTTGTCTATCAAACATGTGTTATCCTTATCTCACCTTTATTTTTTGGGTTTGCTTTTCTCTCTTAAAAATGCCTCTAATCTTTGGCTCTTAATGGCCGAATTGTGTTGTTAGGTTCTGTAAAACTCTGACTACACCTTAACTAAATCTAAATAGCCTGTGAAGTGACTGGGTCTTTACCTTTTTATTTTGCTACAGGTTTATTCAGTGTGCCCTCCAGCGCATCCATCACATCAACAATGCCGACTATGACGAGTTTGTCAGCATTGTCTGCAATGCACGCAACGCTTTCTACTTGGCCCCAGGAGGTATAGTCCAGTTCAATGAGCTACTGCAGAGTCTGCGCCGATCTAAATCGTGTCGCAAAGATCTATGGCAGAGAATTGTCAATGGACTGGCCAGTGGCAGTGTATGATGCTACCCAACTTGTAGGTGCTCACATGTCACTGGAAATATTTAGATTATTTATTGAACTGAGAAACATTGTCATTGTGCCCTACTCTAATTTATTCATCTAATGAAAAATTCATTGCATTGTGTTGATTATGTTATTACATGTTGTTCTCCAACAGAGATTTAAAGGTTGATTACATCAAATGGCTGCGGAGGAATGGGTGTTTTTTAAATTGAAATATGCGTCACTTCTTTTTGGTATTCAAATGACATACTAATGGGGGTGATTAAGTCTGTACCGTTATTTATTTATTCATTCCTTTGAAACGTTAGTTTTCATGAACTTTTATACATCTGTTATCATTAATAAATATAAAGTGTTTCAGAGACTATTTCTCCTATAGTTTGAACCATAAACAAAATTGTTTAATCATTATTTCCTTGCTAAAAATTCAAAATGCACTGTTACATACCAGCACGCTGCCTTCTTGACTTACAATTAACAGTTCATTTGGAGGCAAAATTTTCAAACGAAAAGGAGTCCCATAATTTTTTTCTTCCATTTTGTGTGAGTATACCACTGGGAATTGTATCCAATTTTGTCCGTCATGGTTTACATAATGAATTTGCTTAGATAGACTCTTTTTGTCCTTATCCAGGATTATGAATGGTATCTTTGTCAGTGCCATATGAAGTGACCTTACATTTAATGCTTTTAGTGGAATTTTTTTTATTACACTAAGGTAGAGGCTTTTGCAGGAGCTGTATAACATGTGGAGTTGTTTTAGACAAATGGAATGCGATCTTTTGGTATTGTGTATTAGGAAAGTCTTTGCTGATTGAATACAATCCATAGTGGTAAATAATGATAACCGAGACCCAACTCATAGTACGTCAACAATAATGTCCTCTGAGATGACAAACTATACATGATCACATGTGTGAGGGTAAAAAACAAAACCAAAAAAAAAAAAGAGTTAAAAGTGTATCAGTTTTCTTCGGTTTTATTGCATGGATGGTGGAAACTGATGTAGCTGATTTGTGTGTAGTTTTTTGGTTGATTCGGGCAGTTGTTTGAGTTGCTGTCTCAGTTCTGAAGATTGGGACTTTGATTTAGACTAAAGATTTTGGGCTTTTTCCTAAAAATGTTTTTAAAAAATCATTTACTGCGCACTGCAATTGTAAATTGAGGTACAATTTTATACATCTCACAGAATGGTGTTTGGACAGTTTACAGAGGTGCTAGTTGTGAATACGTTTAATAAGGTACTGCTCAGGCTAGAGAGAAAAGCACTGAAAATTGGTTGCTTTTTGTGAGGTCTATGCTTGGACATTTGTTATGGCTTGTTCACTTTCGTATGTGTCTGTGAGTTAAAAAATTTCCAGCTCATTCATTTACCTATGACCTTGTAACATTGCATAGCACTTCTGCAGACCTGCGACCGAATAAAATTATTTTTCCAATATCCTGATTCAGTAATAAAAAAGTTTCTCTATTTGGGCCCTATATTAGGGTTACTAAGATAAATGATTTACAGTAACTTAGCCTACAAATTGCACATCTTGAGAAAGCGACACCACTCTGCCCCTACATTTTAGTGTAAGCCTGCAGGTTTCATCTTATAACTGTCTAGACGTCTCCTGTCTGTTGAGTCGTGTTTCATAGGTGTTCATTAAATGGGGTGTAGATAAAAAATAAGGTCAATTTTTTTTTTAATTTGGGGGGGGGGCTAATGTCAAAGATAACACGTAGGAACCTTAGTTTGCTGTGACCTTCATGAATGGACGTTTTAGATTCTGTTGGTCATCCAACTTTTTAACTCTTTTTCAAAGAACTGAAAAGATAAAATATAGTGATTTAATTTTATCATGCTTTTACTGCGGACGGATGAAAGTTAAGAAGCTACAACAGTATCTACTTTATATAGATTTATGCTTACTCGTGAAGTGATCTGTTAGTGAAAGATAAAGCTGATTTCATTGTAATATAAAGATGTCTTGCTCATTTCTTCTGAATTTGGCTTTTATTTTACTGAAGCATTCAAAATGTTTGTTCACAATAAATACTTTTTGAGGAGAAATGGTTTGCATATTTAAGACAAAGAATCGCTATTTTAAAAATCCAGGGTTTTTGCACTTTTAGTATTTATTTAATTTTTATTTGACTAAAACTCCCAAAAAAATGATTAAAAAGGCATGGAAGTGCTGTTAAGAACAAAAATTTGTTTTTATGTAGCTTCTCTTCAGCAGTACATCAGCCCCCTCAGACTGGGGGAACACTGATGTCATTTATTTATTTATGTGCTCCAGGCCTGTCTCAGCCGATTGCTTTGTAAATTCAGATTTGTAAATGAATAGAGCTTGAATTACACAGAATGGGTTAGTTTTATTTTTCTCAGGAGGTATGAGACAAAGCTGAGGGTTGAATTATGTGCTCCAGTGTTGTTGGGCCAGACGACAGAGTGAGATTTACTCCACTTTGCCCCCCCCCCCCATATTTCTGTGTCCCATCATTCATAACAACTTTAGGAAACCTGCTTGTTGAGTTGCTAAGAATATTGTCAATTTTGAGAGCGTAGTTGTTGAATGTTTTTTCTCACTTTTGGGTTGAATGCTGAAAATGATTCAGGAAGTACAGAAGGGGAAAATTATTGTGTGCCATTGAGATGCATAATGTATTTTACCACAAAGTTATGTTTTTTAAAATATATATAAATATAAAGTAAGCTTTTGATTGACAGTTGTATCTAGTGTGTCACCGAAAGCTGTTGGTTAATTCAGGCTTTGTCATAATGTCACATATTTTTGTTTCTTTTTTTGCTGTACTTTGGTATCAGATAAATATTTATTGGCTTCCATTGGCTTGCTGAGAATTCCTGGTGGATTTGTAATTTTGGAAAGGTAGAAGTAATTTTAAGTGGTTTGTTTTATTTCATGCTAGAGTAGAATTTAGTTAAGTAGCTAGCTCTATTTCAAACGTGGTAGTTGTCAGCAAGCTACTTCTGGTTTTGTCCTTTTCACAAGAGGAATCCAAGCACTATCGCTTTGATCTTACCCTACTAAGTCATTCTTTTGTATTTCCCATAGCAGTAAAGATACAAAGGTTAATCTAGTCTGTTGAACACAGGGACATATCTATTGATCTGAAAAAAAGAAAAGTAGAAAAAAAAAATTTCTCTGAACTTTGCATTTTTCTCTTTGATTATTTATTTATGTGAGTATACATGTGTGTATGCTTAATAATGATCATCCTTTTCATAACAGTACATTACATATTGCATATATATTTATATACTAAATCAATATATTGTTGTTTACACTGGATAGTAGCATAGAAATTGGTGGTGTGTACTGTGTCTTGGTTCTGAGTGTTTGATGTGTCGCTGTCTTTTTTCTCACCAGTTTCTGACTTTACGCACTTGAAACTGTAGTAACATTGCGTTGACACCTGTACAGTGACCGTCCCCACCCCCCCACACACACCTCTAAGTTTTGGTGTAGAAATCAGGGATTTTATTATTTTCATTTCATCAAGATTTTTTTTTCGGCGTCTGTGTCTGCGATTTTTTTTTCCTTTCCATTTCACATCATGAAGAGGGCTTTTTTTCCTTCATCTTTATAAAATTGGCACTTTGATGTACTGTAGGGTTCTTTAATTTATCTCTCCATAATATAAGTGCAATGTATTTTTTATTGGGCTATGGTTACTGGATGGATAGTGTTAAGAAGTCTAGGGTTGAGTGTTTCAGCTTTGTCTTGCTTTGTCACAGATTCTCAGCAGGAAATTCCGGGATGTGAAAGTTTCAAAATTTGTTAAGGAGGTCTGAAATTTCTTAATAAAATGTTTGAAAGGAGCTATGCAGATGAAAGAAATGCATGATTTCAAAATAACTAGCTTTATTGATTTGTTAAATGAAATAAAAGTTCCTTAAGAGTAATTATGATGGATTGTGGATGATGGAGAAATAGATGAATGGTCCAAAATAAAGAAGAGGTGTTGCAGAGAAACCTGCCAAAAAACATAGACTGGTTTTGGATAAAAAGCTCCAAAGTTTTATTGGGGTTTTTTTTCTGAATTCTCTCCAATCATTCCTGTGGCACTTTGCCTCCCCTTAGAACCAACAGCAAGTTTCATCGACGTTTTTGTTACGTCTCCTCGCAATAGTGCGAAAAAGGCATTAAAGCTAAACTGTTTTGGTACTGGCTTTATGATTTATAGCTTGCCAAATAAATGGTACTTTTGTTTCAGGAAAACTCTACAGAGATTCGGTCTGTCTAGGAGTATGTGTTCTGTAATACAGTTGATGTCGATATTATGTTTCAGTTTTAAAACAATTTTTTGTAAAGTGTGAAGTGTGTAGACAAATTATATGGGGGTTTTATCAGAAGATCTTTTGGAACTTGATCAGGCATGTTCATCAGCTGTCATCTATAAATTTTGTAAAAAGAAAACTGTTTTGTGCAGTGTGGAGGTGTTTGTTTGATGGAAGCTCATTATTGTAGTATGTCAGAAGTTTACTAGATAACCCAGTCAGTCAAGTTCATCTGTTAAGAGACATACCTTTTTCATCAGTTATCTTCTCAACACGTTTATGTTCCATGTTTAGTTAACAGTTGTGCAACATATGGTTTCTACCTGAAAAATTGGGTATATTACTTCTAATTAGACAGTTTAACTGGATTCTACAGTTTGAATGTAATCCTATTTGACACAAAGTCAGTCATTTTGAAAGTGTGTCATTTTCCCCTGTGCTTAATGTAAAATGGTGTTGTAGGTGACTCAGATAAAACAGTGTGACTTGTTCACAAAAATGGTGAGCAAAGTTGCTGTGGTCTAAGATATGAGTGGAGTGTGAATAGCTACTGGTCTGGTTCCTGTGCTTCTTGGTGCAAAGAGTGTAATAGCAGACATTAGTAAATGTCCAGATGGTTTCCTGTGTCTGGAGAGAACCAGATAGTGGTGTCTTGTTGATATTTTTAGAAGGGGATTTTTTTGTTATTACGCAAAGCTCAAAGGAGTTTGTCTGTTGTTTTCTTTGTCCAGAAATAAATGACTCTGTACAGGTTAAAATAGCTTGTTATGTCATTCTAATGAGTTGTAACATACGTTCTCTGACTTTGATGGAAATCAAACTTTACATATTGTCATTTTATGAATAATGAATGCAGCCGTAAAGTCAGTGTAGGCTCTTCATTTGGAGTATTCATGATCTCACAGATATCATAGTGTACAAATTCACTTGAACTATATAAACCATGACTGAAGACTTTTCCATCATTTTGCGGTATCATATGTCATACTTCGTGTATAGTCTATCATTGGATTTCAGCTCGAAGCACCCATCGTCGTCCATACTTAATACTTCATCTTTGTTCTTATCTTCGAGCATGTGTACAGAACTTGATTTGTTCATAGTAATGAGTAAATTTACTGCTTTTAGTTACTTTACACCGAAGGGTAAAAGTCCATAGGGACAAGGCTTGTAAGAGCAACGACAACAGCACGAAGTATATCATTGATTGGCAGAGACATTTCTCTATTAGAGGCTTACTTTTTCATTATAGATTTAAATAATTGTTGTCTCTTGTAAAGGGCTTATCACGCCGTTTAAAGCAGCATGAAAGTTTAACAGTCAGTAGTTGCTATTGGGTTTTCTCTGTGACGTATATCATCTGAACACCCCCCACCCCTCTCCCCAGTTCAGTATAGTATAGTCAAAATATTTTGATAACAATTGTTATGCCATTGTTAAGTCCATTGTAGATGTTGATATACAAGAAGGTAGTATTGGTAATGAGGGCTGTAATGGGTATGGGCTTGTTGGATGTATTCTTCTTTAATTTTCTGGGTTAAATTTCTCTGTGAATGATGTAACAAAAATTAACCTGTTGTGATTTGTGTCTTGTCGACATCATCATTGTCTCTTACCTCGGAGATCTTGACCTCCCAAGCTCTTGAGTTATCCTCCTGCCATCTCGTCCATGAATTTCCCATCTTGCATACACAGTCCTGAAGTAAGGTCCAACTTCACATCATTTGCTCTTGTTGTATAGAAATCAAAAAAGAAAAAGTATAGCTTGTCTGTATAGTAAAAAGAAAAAAAAAGACAACAACAGGTAGTCAGGGTGGACATTCCTGAGAACTACTACGCTGACTGATGTACAGTAATGAGAAGCCTGGAGAACTATGATAAAAATACATATTTATATATTATATCTATATATATATTTCTAGTAAAATGTTTCTGAAGCAAGTATTTTGTTACTTCCATCGATGACTTGAACCCCATGTTTCCATTTTTGTGAATTGTTCGAAAAAGTTTTAACGTGAATAATAATGAGCCCCCGTATTATAAATGGTCAGTTCTAACTGATGTTTTAATTAATTTATCGACTTGCCATGGTAAGTATCTATTCACTCTCACACACATACATCATGTCTCGAACCTCTTCATCTGAACATAGAAGTAGGTCTCTAGTTTCCGGGGTAATTTTTTTAGGTGTTATTCCCAATTGCTCGAGCAATGGTACTAATTATGCTATTTGTTTGGGGTTTGGTTTTTTGTTGGTTTTTTGTTGTTGTTGCTGTTTTTACATGTAATAATTTAACTTTTTTTTTTTTACTTGTCTTACTCAAAGTACATGTTTTTCATGTGAATGTTTCTACATATAGTTTTGTGCTACTTAGCCTTTAGAGGGCTCGTTGTACCTTCTTACAGGTTTTTCATTTTAGAGCTTTGTCCTTTGTTAATCTGAAATGCACCCTATTCAAGATGTTTAGAAAGGAAAGTTGAAAGTTGAACTGATTCCACTCAATGAATGCACTCAAGTCCATTGCGTTTGTGATGTGGATGTGGTTTAGAAGCTACTGGTGTTGTATAAGACTGCACCAGGGGGTCATTTTTGCCAATATTGGTTTATTTTTTAAATGATTCCAGAAAAAAGAAAAAGAAAATGATTAGCAGGAGAGGAAATTTTCTTGCTCTGAAATTACTTGGTCATTCTTGTTTCTCATTCATTTGATGAGGACATTAGCTCTGTTAAGCCTTTCAATGGTGCAATGATTCCTTTAAAACTTTATAGGTGCTTATACCCAACACCACAGAGCTTCAGCATCAACTGTACATTTGTTTAATTCTCTGTTTTCATCTCTTCTGTGCCAGAACATCTGACTTTTTATTCCTATACTGTCAATGTTCACATCTTTTATTTTTTATGTTATATTTGTCACTCCAATGACTCATCCAGCTTGTTTTACTTTTAAAAAAATAAATATTTATTGACGAATATGTGTGCATATTATTGTGGGATTTTTGTAGCCTGTGCTGAATATCAAGATTCAGTGATGGCTGTTCTTCCTCTGGTTGTCTTCCTATAGAAGGAAAAAAAATGAACCAATGATCCATCTGATTATTGAGTAAGAAGGACTTAACTCATTGAGACTTTGCTTGGCATACCACATCAGCCTTATCAGCATATCTGATCAGCAGTATTTCCATTGGGGGGTAGACTTGCAAGAGGGCTATATTAAAATGAGCATTGGCATGTTTTTACAACAAAAGTTTTGCAATTTCTCCCCAAACTGCATCTTTTAGACTGTGCAAATTTTTTAAAAACAATTATATTTATTAATTTTGTCTTTGCTTATGTATCTTAAATAGATTCTGTTCTTGTGTTCTAGTAGAGCATCACAAGTTTTGGTGGACATAATACCAATTTCATATCCTAGCAGTAAAATAACACTTCTCATTAGAGTGTAACTTCTTTAGGTTCACATTATTTAGATGATTAGGAGTACAAACAGAAAACTTGTTTAGTTTCTACCTTTATTTAAAGTGTACAGAGTTTTGAAAGAACATCTCCAAATGCTGCATCATGAGATGCATGTTGGGAATTGGAGCATGCAGTCATAATAAGTGAAGTCTAAATCCCCTAGGAAAGTATCATCATCATTGCCGTTTTGTCTTTGGTCACTTTTCTTTATAAGATAATCAGGACAAGGATTCCCCCTCAAACTTGTCACATTAAAGTTCTTTTGTTCGTTTTGTGTCGTGTGTGCAGTGTGTTGTATATGTGCACTGTTTGTACAGATGGTTTTGCGGTTTTTTTCTCTGCCAAGGGGTCGTGTCTACTCTGGTGTATTGTTGGTCTCTTTCCAACTATGACCATGATTTAATGAAAATGTTCTAGTCTGTAACGTTTTTCCTGTTGTCAAAGTCTGAAGGTCTTGTGCTGATATGTTGGTGGTGAAACATGGGCATTACCATGCCATTGGCTGTTGCTTGGATTCCATGTCTTTGCTCCATTTTGATGCCAACATGTATTGTGCTCGATTGTGTAGTCTTCATTAGGCAGATACTCTGTATGTCTGTCCTGCCAGCTAGTGGTCAGTGGGTGCATTGATGTAGTCTGCTCTGTCTGCTTCTTTTCAGTAGTGAAGTTATTCTGAATTGTTTTAGACACCTTGACCGAGTGGATGGTTGGCAGGTGCACTGGTCTGGCTTGCCCCTTCTTTCTTATCAAACGTCCATCGACCTTATCTCTCCTCTTTCTATATTGTTTGTTACTTGCTTGTAACACCTCTTATCTTCTGCACTTGTATAACCAAATTGTGTAGTGAGTGCCATAAAATGCTAACTAAAATATAACCTGGACTGATCATCGCCAACATCTGTCCTGTCTATATATGGATATTTCTGGATACAAAAGCAGCTGGTTATGAATTTGGTCTGTCTCACGGGGGGTTTCCTTTTCCTTCATAAAAAGTTCATAGAATATCTTCAGGCAGCTTGTGGTCTTGGGATGAAATTAAAAACAATTTACTTTGTGTTCAGGAGGGCTTTAATCTTTAACTACATGTTAACAACAGAACAGTTATAATGATTCTCAATATAAAAGTCCGGTTTAAAAAAGCAAAAGAGACGAGACATCTGTCTATCTCTGTGTTGGTCCTCCCTTTATTCTGTCGATTGTAGATAAGGGCTATATACTGGTCTGCCTGCTTTCGTATTTGTCCATTAAGTCCAGTCTGTTATCTGTCTCTCTCCCCCCCCTCCCCTGGGCAGTGCCACTGACTGAAGTGTCTTTAGGCCATTCCCAAAGGGGGGACATTTCTCGTTCTTATGCACAGTAGAATGGTAAATGGGCTGAATCAACAATGTCCTGCTCATAACTGCCTGAACTACAAGAGGGAACTGCTGCTTTTTCTTTCCTAATCCTTACTATCGTCATTTTCCTCTACTTCTTTTGTATGTGTGACCCGTTATTTCCGGGGTACCTTGAAAGTCAAAACAGACTTTGTGCTGTTAAAGCTAGAGAGGTGAGCAGAGTAAGTCTAATTCCTTGTAAAGACTTCTCTGATCCACCCCTTGGCGCTCATATGACCTTATGCAGTTGCAAGGGCCGTAAGACTTCTACTAAATAAAAAAATGTTGTTTTTCAGATTTTTGTGACAGAACTTTTCTTCTGGTCATGCTCAGTGGCATCTTGCTTCAGGCACATGGTTCCTTTGAATAGTCTGTTGGGTGGTATTTATTTTCCTCATGATTGCTTCACCTTGAGCGTGTTTGGTCCAGTTACATCTGAAGTTTGTTCTGTGTCTCTTATTTTTCTTTTGTATATCGTACCTTTGGTTTGCTGGTTGTTGGAGGATGCTACTGGTAGGTCTACTTTTCTCTCACTTAGTTGGTCAGCATTAAAAGATAAGTTTTTGTCTTTTTTTTCAAACTTTATATATTTTTTATTACAGTTTTTTCCTTCAAACCTGCAAACTGTTTGAAAATTCTGCAAGTGTTGTAATACTCTAATAAAAATTTAACAAAACAAAGCTTCAAGTCTTTTGGCACCGAACTATGTGTGGGTTTCCCAACGTTTTGGGTTTTTTTTTCTGAATTAATAATACTTTTCTTAAAATACCTCACTTACTTCTTACCTTAGTATAAATGACAAAAACATTTTGTAGATACTTGTTGTTTTGTGTAACTACTACTTCAAATTTGCATAACTTTTTTTCTCACGATGAGCTTACAATATGCCTGCGTCTTGGGATTTTGTCCAAGAAGACATAGCTGTTTTGTCAGTACATACCTTATTATGTACATTTGTTTGGAAAAGAGCAAAAACTATTTTTATTGCTGTTCCTTTACGTGCAGCTCTGCCTTCTGCAGATGTACAAAAGAATGTCAAGAAACTTATCTACCTCCTCATTACCTTGAGTAGTCAGACCAAACAGTTTCCTGTGTCTGTCCGTCTTGTGATAAGTCACATTTTTGGGTCTTGTTAATGAATTGTTTTTTAATTTGTCTTTTTTTTTAGACTACTCCAGAGGTTAGAAGAGCAGGCAAATGTCTTGGCTACTGCTGGAAGTTCTTTGATGATGAAGACAAATTGTGGCTGGTTGGCGGGTGCTCTGGTGTGGTTTGCTTTTTCTTTCCTTTCAAACATCTATCTTCTTTATCTCCCCTCCTTCTTTTTTGTGTTTGTTACTCCCTTGTAACACCTCTAATCTTCGGTACTTATATGACCTTATTGAGTTGCAAGTGTCGTAAAACTCTAAAAAAAAGAAGAAGAAAAAAAGAAGACAAATTGTAATATAATCTTCAAATAATGTCTTGCATTTCACTGTGAGACCTTTTCACTTTAATAGTGTTATCTCTGTGACTTTGTCGTAATTGAAAAGTTTGAATTCAGTGCAGTTACATCTTTTAACAAATGAAAATCCACTGAAAAATTGAAGTTTTCAATTAATTTTGATGTAATAGATAGATGTCATTAAGTGATTCTTGACAACTTCAACAAATTGTGTTTTTTAAACACATTTTATGTTCCCCCCCCCCCACCCACCCACCCACCCCAGGGCAATGCTACTGACTGAAGTGTCTTCAGGCCATTCCCAAAGGGGGGATATTGTCTTGTTCTTATGCACAGTACTATTGTAAAGGGACTGATTTATTATACTGTGCCGGAAGAACATAGGGGGGGAACTGCTGCTTTTTCTTTCCTCATCTTTACTATCGTCATTTTCCTCTACTTCTTTTGTATGTTTATCACTCTCTTGTCCGCTGCTATTTCCGGGGTACCTTGATAGTTGAAGCAGACTTTGTGCTGTAAAGGCTAGAGAGGTGAGCAGAGAAGCCTGATTCACAGCTTAGACTTCTCTGTTGACATCCACCCCTTGGCGCTTTATGACCGTATGCTGTTGCGAGCTCAGTAAATCCTTACTAAAAACTGAGCACATTTTAATAGCCACACAATAATGCTAAGCTTTCAGATTTAGGCAAGGACAAGACTTACGAGTTGGACTGTTTTCTGATATCCCCGCTTATGTTCTACATCTTTCAAACTTTTTGTTTTGTTTTTGAAAGCTCTGTTGTGTTGTGGTATTTGAATGTTCTCGACTTTTGAAATTGGTATATCTTCACATTTCTGTCTATTCATTAGTTAATTTATTGGAAGGGTCACCATTTTTCCCTAAAGCTCAGACCATGAGCTAAACATGCGTTGGTTTGAGTTTGAGTCCTTTGTTTTGAATCACTCCTGGTCTGAGCAGATGTGAGGGTGTTTGTTTGTACCTTTTGTTTTATCATAGCCTCTGTAGAAATTGTCAGTGAAGCTCTTTTCTCTGTGCACTCATTGATGATTCATAGAACATTTTGGTAATCTTGTTGTATGTCCACATAGCCCTGTCCCACATCTCACCGTGTCCATTGCCTCGATGTGTTTCCTCATTAAAGTTCTCAGGCTAAACTTACCACTCTTTGTCGTTTGCTTTTTATTTTTGGTGAATATTATTATTGCGGTTGTTTTGCAGCCGTTTCCTCTTTCCCTGTCTCTATCGCTCTATCTTTTTCTGGGGTCTTTGGAGGGCGCCACTTGTTTGTCTTTTCTTTCCCTCATTTGTTTCTGTTTAACTTCTTCCCTGCACTATATCTATTATTATGACTGTTGTTGTGTTGATGCGCTTCTCTTTACCCAAATTTAAAAACTAACTGTGGTGGTTGGCGGGTGTTCTACTCTGACGTGGTTTGCTCGTTCTATCCTATCAAATATCTGTTGTGCTGATCTATCCTCCCTTTTTGTGTGTTTGTTACGCTCTTGTAACACCTCTTATCTTCAGCACTTATATGAACTTATGGTTTCTGCAAATGCCGTAAAAATTGTTTCTGAAACTTAACTCTCTCTCTCTCTCTCTCTCTCTCTCTCTCTCTCTCTCTCTCTCTCTCTCTCTCTCTCTCTCTCTCTCTCTCCCTCCCCTCCCCCCCCCCTCTGTGTGTGTGTGTGCGTGTTTCTCCTCCCCCCTCCCCCTGTCTGTCTGTCTGGTGTAGCGGTTATGCGATGTTCACACATACAGGAGTGGGTGATTGGCGGGTGCTCTGGTGTGGTTAGCTCCTTCTTTCCTATCAAACGTCTATCGTCCTGATCTCTCCTCCTTCTGTTTTATGTTTGTTACTTTCTTGTAACACCTCTAATCTTCGGCACTTACATGACCTTATTGTATTGCAAGTGCCGTAAAACTCTTACTAAAACTAAAACACATACAGGAGGAATTAAGCCGAGTAAGACAACATTTCTAAGTCCAGCAGCTCGGGGCTGCTCTGGATGCATTTCGCCGAGCAATCCGCCTCCCTCCCCGAGTGATAGTTCATGCTCGCCGTGTGAAATTATTACACGGGAAGCTTGCCGAAATAATGTTCTAACATTAACATACTTAAAATTTTCGCCGAGCTAAAAATGAGTCGCCCAGTCAATAACTTGCACGTGGAAAACTCGAGGAGTGTCAGAAATAGCTCGGCGTGCAAAGTTGCATACGTTGCAGAGTGACAGTGACACGCCAACGAGATCTGAACGGAAGCCGAGTTAAATTTCGTAGCCTACTCTGCGGGTTAAATTATTGCTTGCCGTGTAAAAATCTTGCACGGGGGTCTTGAGTTACTCAAGCACGGCGTGCAAGAGTTGACACGACGAACATGCGCCGTGACACGGCGACCGTCGCGCTTCTTCTGGATACTTCTGCTACAGCTGCTCCCAGTGCTGCTACAGCTGCTTCTGAAGAAGAGCCGAGGATGTCTTCTACTCCAAGATCTCGCGACCCCAGTGCTTTCTTGTCGTATCTCCAGTTTTAATAACAGTGAAAACAGTTCATAACAAAGAGTGAGCTGAAGAAGATGTCACACTTTCACCGTTAAAAAATGGAGATACGACAAGAAAGCACTGAGGTTGTGATCTGCATCTCTGGTGGTGGCATCCCCTGAGCACTCTTCAGTGCAGTCTGCTGTCTCCTCTCCAGCCAGATCTGTAACATCTCCTTCAAGCCAGGCCAAGAAGACCAGTCGAGACAGGCTGCAGCTCACAGCTGATGATGAAGAAAACCTCGTCGACTGGTACAGGGAGCAGGAGGTCTTCTTCAACAAGACCCTGAAGGGATACAGAGATACGCAGAGGAAGAATACCCTAATGGGGGGAGAAGGCCAAGTCCATGGGGAAGACTGTAGTAGAGTTGAAGACCTGGTTTGACTCCATGAGTTTGGCAAGCTGAAGAAAAAGGACCTTTCTGGGACGGGGAAGAAGATGCTGACTGCCAGGGAGACGTGGATCTTGGACCAGTTCTGTTTCCTGAAGGACCACATTCCAGAAGTTCTTTCAAATCCCTTTCTGCAAAAACATCACTATCAGACCCTGCTCCAGAGGCACCATCATTGACATAGATGAAGTTGTAATTAGCATCCACAAGTGCAAAGAGGACTACGAAGTAGAACCCTTTGTAGCTGAAGTAAAGGGATCCATTACTGACACTCCCCGAGCGAGTTATTGACTCGGCGACTTATTTTTCGCTTGGCGAAAACTATTTAAAGCATGTTCGAAATTTTCGGCAAGCTCCCAGTGTAATAATTTCACACGGCGAGCATGAACTATCACTCGGGGAGGGAGGCCGATTGCCCGGCGAAATGTATCCAGAGTAGCCCCGACCTGCTGGACTTAGAAATGTTGTCTTACTCGGCTTCATTACTCCTTTGAGGGTGAACACCGCATACAGTCTGTCTGTCTGTATGTCTAGATACCGTCTCTCTGTCTCTCTCACTGTGTGCGTGCGTACGTGCATGTGTGCCAGCCTAATAGTGCGGTCAAAAATTTGAGGGGTAACAGTTAATTTTTCTCAAATATCTCTTTAACTGGTGTTTCAATGTCATCCATACTTTGGACAGCAATTTGTATACATTTTTCTCAACTAAATCACATTTTTCCCAAACAACTTGGGTTTAAAACAATATTTTTAGTGGCAAAACTTGTTGCAAGAAATTATTTTTTATAGAGAACACGTTTTTTCTGCACCAATGGTTCTCAAAACATGTGTTCAATAAGCATAATGTCCCGATTAGAAAAAATCATGACGACTTGCTATTAAAAGCAATATTATTGCCCGAGCTGTAATGATTTAAAACTGTAGAAACCATCCACTTAGAATTTTTATTTGTATTTATTGTTGAGGATTTTTTTTTTTTAGAATACATCTAGCATGGATGTGTTTTCAAAAATGTTGATCTGTTAAGACAAATTGATACAAGTCATTGTGCAAAAATTGTAGAACCTATGTTCGATAGTTGAGGAGATATTTGACAATAAATTGCGCCACGAATTTTTAACCGTTTAAAAAAAAGTGTAATAAATAATACACTTGTAATAAGAGCTGTTAGATCTACTCAAAATAACATTTAAGGGAACTG